ACCCTGTCTCAAAAAAGACAAAAAAGAAAAAAAAAAACAAGTCTTTTAGAAAAAAAGAATAGTACTTTCAGTGAGTGGTGATTTTTGGACATACATATGCAAAAAAAAGATCCTCAATCCTCCTTCAAATCATCTGTGAACAATAACTTAAAATGAACCAGAGCCCCAAAAGTGAAACTTAAAACTATAAAACTTCTAAAAGCGGGGCTGGAGACATGACTCAGGTTAAGAGCACTGGCTGCTCTCAGAGGACCTGGGTTCAATTCCCAGCACCCATATGGCAGCTAACAACCATCTGTAATTCTAGTTCCAGGGGATCAAAATCCCTCTTCTGACTTCTGTGGGCACTGGACAACACAGGTGCACTTACATACACACAGGCACACACTCATACACAATAAATAAATAAATAAATAAATAAATAAATAAATAAATTCGATTCCCAGCACCCACATGGTGGCTATGAACTGTCCTTAACTCCAGTTCCAGGGGAATCGAAAGCTCGCTTCTGACCTCCGTGGCATTGCACGACATGGGTGCACTCACAAACATTCAGGCAATACACTCATACACATAAAATTTTAAAAAAAGATATATATATATACATATAAAACTTCTAAAAGAACACAAAGGAAATCTACATGATCTTAAGTCAGCCAAAAGTTTTCTTCTATGTGGCACCAAAGCATGCAGCACGAAAGAAAACATGACGCCTTGAACTTTCTCGATGATTAAGGGTTTCTGTCTTTGAAGTCCTGTCCAGAATAAAAAGATAAACCATAAACCAACGACAGATATTAGCGAACCACATAGCTGACAAAAGTTCGTGTTGAGAATCTTTAAAACATTTAAATGAAACATTACAGTAAGAAAATAATTCAGTTTTAAAAGAGGCACAGACCATACTGCCCAAAGCAATTTGATAGTGATTCAAAACAGTCACTTTCAAAATATCTGTAGTTCTCTTCAGAGTACTAGGAAAAAATTTCCCAAATGTGGTATGACTGCTTCTCCTTCCCCCCAAATACCAGAGTAGCAGAAACAATCTCGAGCAAACAGAACAAAGCAGGGAACATTTTGTTATCTGATTTCAAAGTACATACAAAGCTGTAGTCCCACACGGTGTGGGCACAAACCACACTCACAGACACAAAGAAAAAATAGCCAAAAGTAAGGCCACACACATGTGCATCAAACTGGCGCTTGACCAGGGATTAGAGTGCCTTAGAGGAGAGATAGTCCTTTGCACATCTATAACCCTCTGAAAGGCATATAGAAAATATAAGAAAAACTCAACAGCAAAAAGAAAGTAACACAATTTAAATCTATACAATTAAAAAAAGTAAACCTAAAGAGATATTTCTAAAAAGAGGACAGGTTTACAACTGATATACTCTTGAGAAAGTGGTCAATATCACTGATTATCAGAGAAATGGAAATCTAAACCACAATGAGCTATCCCCTCACCCCAGTGAAAATGACTACAATTGAAGAGAAAGATAACAAGTGCCGGAAGGATGTGGAGAGGAATCCTTGCCCCCTGTGCGTGAGGACATAAACCAGTACAGCCACAAAATGGAAACAACGTAAGTGTCCACTAACTGATGAATGGGTAGAGAAAATGTGGCACCAACACAATGGAATATCGTCCTGCTGTGAGAAAGGATGGAACCCTCCCATTTGCGATGTGGATGGAGCTAGAGATCATGATGTCTGGAGAAATAAGGCAGGCACGCTCAGAGGCACAGGTGCCTCAAATGGAATATCGTCCTGCTGTGAGAAAGGATGGAACCCTCCCATTTGCGATGATGTGGATGGAGCTAGAGATCATGATGTCTGGAGAAATAAGGCAGGCAGGCTCAGAGGCACAGTTGCCTCGTGATCTTACTGATTTGTGGATCTAAGAAGTTGATCTCACAGAGGCTGAGAGAAGAACGTTGACTATCAGAGGCTGGAAGGGTACGGGGAGACACGAATGGAGACAGGTTGATTGTGGGCATGATTACAGTCAGAAGCAAGAAGTTCTTGTCCTGTAGGGTGACTGTGGCAGTGATAAGGTACTGTATACCTCAAAAAGCCAGAAGAAAGGATTGTGAAAGTTTGCCATAAGTAAATGATGTTTAAGGAGCTACTATTTCTACTGTGATTGGAACATTATATGATGTATACATGCATGAAAACAGCACACAGTACCCCAGAAATAAGTACAATTTATACTTTTATGCATCAGTTAAAATAAAATTTATAGAACAAAAAAGGCTCAAGACTTGTAGACGGTACCAAAGAAAACTTGGACATGGGGGATGGTAACACATGGAAATACATGGGAGGATGTGCAGTATAAGATACCAATACAGTGTAATAAATTGCCAGGAATCAATGACATAGAAAAAATATCTCAAGTGCAAATATGGATGCGGAGGAAGCATTCATGGGTTTTCTTGGGGGAGGCAACATTGTACCTCGTTGGAAAGCAGCTTGGCAGTCTCTTATAAAGTTAAATCCACACTTACACATGGTTTAGCAACCCTACATATTTTCTTAAGGAAAATGAAAAGTTAGTTTATACAAATACAGGTGCACACATGTTTATATATAATGACTTTAGCCACCACTGGAAACAGCTCAACTGCTCCTTAATGGGAAAATTAATAAATGACACTGTATCCATATGGTGGAATACTATTTATTCACCCATCATATGAAACAAGGCTCTGATACATACAAGATGGATGCTGAACGAGACAAGCCAGATACTGCGAAGTGCCTGGCTTCTGCGTGATGTTCAGAAAAGGCAAACTGTAGACTGCCAAGTCTGCTTTGTACTGTTAGACCCCCGAGACTGGATAATTAAGACCAGGAATTTATTTCTTTTTAGATTTAATATTTTATTTGTGTGTGTGTGTGTGTCTGTGTGTCTGTGTGACTGTGTGTCTGTGTGTCTGTGTGTGTCTGTGTAAGCCTGAGGATAACTCTTGGAAACTGGTTCTCTCTTTCCACCATGAGTCCTGGGGAACAAACTCAGATCATCAGTCTTGCATGGCAAGCACCTTTACCTGCTGAGCCGTATCTGAGGTCCAAGAACAGGGATTTCTTTCTCATAGTTTGGGAGGCTAGGGAAGTCTAAGGTCAAGGGTATCTAGTAAGCTCTTGCTGCATCATCCCATGGCAAAAGGTGGAAGGGCACTCACATGGAGAGCAAGAGGTCAAGTTCACAGCCTCAATATCATGACTGGCACTCATATTTACTCTCATATAAGGGTGGGGCCCTTGTGGATTGGCTGCCTGCCAGCCTGACATCAGGCCCTACCTTCCAACACAGGGAGACTGGAGAGCAAATGTACAGCACGTGACTTTGAGGAAACACATTCAGATCACAGCAGAGAGAGAACAGACCAGTGTTAAGCCTGAGCCAGTTAAGTGACACTGTGGGGTGATGGGGAAGCTTTGGGAAATACCCTGCTTTAATTGCTGTTGGCTATGCCACTGTTTGTGCTTATAAAAACAGAATTTGGAGGCTGGAGAGATGCTCAGAGGTTAAGAGCATGGCTGCTCTTGCAGAGGACCCAGGTTTAGTTCCCAGCACCTACATTGTAACTAACAACCATCTATAACCTCAGTTCCAGGGAACTCGAAACCCTCTTCTGGCCTCCACAGGCATTGCATCAACATGGTACACTTACACACACGTAGGCAAAATACTCATACATAAAATAAAAATAAAAATAAAAATAAAAACAGAAAGCTTGGCATTGTGGTGTGAGCCTGTAGTCCCAGCACCCAGGAGGCAGAGGCAGGAGGATCTCTGTGAGTTCAAGATCTGCCTGGTCTACAGGGTGAGTTCCAGGACAGCTGGAGCTACAGGGAGACCCTGTCTCAAAAAGACCAATAAATAAATAAATAAATACAGAATTTTATAATAAATAGGGAGGGTTTTATGCAATTTGAATTGAATCTTAATTTTTAACATATATAATGTGTATGTGAACTTTTTATAATGTTATGTTCTTATTTAATCTTTAAAATGTGTATTGAAAGAATCACATTTCTGAGGAGCTGGAGAGATGGCTCAGTGGTTAAGAGCACTGACTACTCTTGCAGAGGATCCAGGTTTGAGTCCCAGCGCCCACATGGCAGCTACGAACTGTCCTTAACTCCAGCTCCAAAGCCCTCTTCTGACCTCCGCTGCATTGCACGACACAGGTGCGCTCACATACATGCAGGCAATATACTCATACACATAAAATAAAATACTTTTTAAAAGTCACATTTCTGAGAGTGACTTGACGTGTAAAACCCTTGGTTTTAAAAACCTTGGTAGACTACTGTTTGCCCCTCTGTGAACAGCACAGCACCCATCTTGGCTCCTTAAGGACAAGCCCTGGCTGTGTTCTCCACTTCCTTAAGGGTGGCACTGAGAACCCGAGCTGACGGACTGCATCCCTGGCACTGATTCAACAGGTCTGCGGTGGGGTGTGTTCTTTAAACAGTTCTATGGGTGATTCTGCTGTGTGGCCAGCACTACCCACATGGCAGGAGGTCACACAGGGTCCAGCCCAGCTCGATAAAGCTGGGATGCCCTAACCAGAACTCGAAAGATCTCCTTTACTAGATAACATAGGGAAAAAGAAAGGGTGATGGGAGAGAAGGTGGGGCGGGAGGGAGGGAGGGAGGGAAGAGAAAATAGAAAACAAGGCCTGGAAAAGGCCCAACACTGCAGGTGTTTCAAGCACAGTGTTAACAGCACATTTGGGAAAGTCACAGCTGTGGCCAGATCACTGATGATAAAGTTCTCGTCTGACTCTCAGACAGGTTGGTTACAAGAAATATGTAGACAGAAGCATTAGGAAATGCCTGTAAGGAGGGCACAGTCCCATTCTGTCCCGTTTTCTAAAATGAATCCCTCATAAGCATCATTGCCAACTAACACTCTTACCTCCAAGCAGAAATACCTTGACTGTTCATTGAAAGTCTCCCCAAAGCGTCTTCTGGATACTCACTTTGAACAGAAAGCTCTCCGCATGGTAATGGATGGTGTGTATGTCCACCTCACTTCCCAGTCCCAGCAAGTACCAGTTAGTCATTGCGTCTTCAGTCATTATCAGACCAGGGAGGTTTCCGAAAATCTTTCCATTGATGGCTGGGAAGGTGTAAAGCAAATAGCAATGGGTCAGCAGAAGAACGCACTGCTCACTCTACTGTCAGAAATGTTGTTGTTTGTTTGAGACAGGGTCTCACTATGTAGCCCTGGTTGGCCTGGAACTAACACACTGTGTAAACTAGGCTGTCCTTGAACACATGGCGATCCACCTGCCTTTGCCTCCTGAGTTCTGGGATTAAATAAAGGTGTGAACCACCGAAGTGGTTCAAGATCTTCAGGGCTCTGGCTCTCTGTCTGCCTGGTGAACAGGTGCCAGCCCCACTCATACTTACCAGTAACCCCACCATTCTAGACACAAAATTCAGATGAACAACAAAATAATCTTTACATGCAGGGATCCTGGAAAGAAAAACCAGTTTGTCTGTCAGAGCTACGTCTTGGGTGACAGCATTGTTTGTTTATTCAGCACGGGCTCTGAGGGAAATAGACGATGAGCTCTCCAGCGAGAAGCTAGGTTTTGATTTACATCATTCTACACAGGAGTGGACTGAGCCACAAACAATCAAATATATATAATATGTGCATATGCATGCAATGAATAAATCAAACACAGCATATATGTGTGTATATATGTGTGTATATATGTGCGTATATAGGCTGAATCAATTAGATTCTATGTCTTTTACGTCTTAATGGTTCACTTTCTAAGATCCAGTATAAACATGGTTGAGTCTCCAAGAAGGGAGCTCCAGACTGGCTGACAACGGCCAAAGCAAGCTGGTGTTAGTGACCGCCTTGCTCCTGTACTTCCTGTTAGCATTTCCCTCCACGCGATGGTGCAACTGAGTGAGTTGCAGTCACAAAAAATGAAAAACATGCTAAGAAAGTTTTCAGAGAGGAGAGGAACAGTGTCTGAATTGGGAATCCAACCACGGCATTGTAATCCCTGTTAACAGCTAGTTTTGTGAGCTTGGGGCTGACCCATCCTCAGAAATACATGTTGTTGAGAGAGTGTGGGTATGCCCATGTGAACACGTCAGCCCCCCAGCAAACCTCCTTAAATGACGCGGAATTCAGTCACATATGTCCATTAAAACAAAATTTCAGTGAATGGTATTTCACGTTCCAGAGAATTAAATCAAACCCTTAAATTTGATCACACAGGCTGTATTGGAGTCTCATAAAACCTATCAATAAGTGACTATTTGTCTTTCAAAAATTACTTCTTCACAACTTAAAGATCTCAGCATTCAGAGACAGTGTTCCTAAACAACCAGTCCAGAACCTCGATGACTTGCAAACAGTCAACCAGTGGTTAGGCTTGCTGGCTCACTCTGGAAATGTCTCAGAGAAAGTCTCAGGACTTTCTCCAAGTCAGTGCCCAGGAGGAGGCCCAGAGGAGGCGCAGGCATCTCCCGCAGTGATAGGGTTTCTGGGAGCCTACCCAACAACAGAGCTCTCTGTAAACCCTGGATGTACCATGCATCTTGTTGCTCTCTTCAAAATCATCAGTGGGCTTGAAATGTCGTGGGTCTTTGCCGAGATACTTCTTGATGTTGTCATCTAGGTACCAAGATTCATTCTCGTCAAACACCAGAAACAGGAGAGCAAATTCATAGTCCACATCACTTCTTCTGCCCTTTTCGTTCAATACCCCCTCTCGGCATGTGATCAGAGGCCCCATCAAACCACTGTACGTGTCCTGGAACAAAAAACAGACCCAATTAGACAAGCGGCTACGATTTTAATAATGTTCCATTCTGTCTGCTAACATTCTGCTGTTGACACTAGTTCCTCCTGGTCCCATCTCATCGCACCTCCACCTCCTCCTAGTCCTCACCATCACCTGAATGTCATCTCTCTGGTATCTAGAAGTCTTCAGTGATTGCCCATGGCTACAGCATGAGGCCCATGGCTACAGTGTGAGGCCCATGGCTACCAGTGTGAGGCCTGTGAGCTCCCTGCTGCCTCTGAAGCCCTCCGTCTGCTCACCCCATGAACTTTTCAGATGAGGCTTCTCTTGGATCCCAGATCATGGCTGAATGGGACTCTTAACACTTCCAAACACACTTCCCACTTTTCAGCTGTTTGTATCGGTTTTCCTCTCTGACTCTTTCCAGAACCTTCCATAAAACATTCCCTAGCCTTCCATTCCTATAGACATTACCAAATTCAGAGATAAATTGCAATTATAGTGCAGACATGTGTAAATTTCCCCACAAAGTTATGCATTTCTTCAAGACAAGCAGGTTATCATCTGTCATAGTATTTCATAGTATAATTTGCATATCATACATACTCTGTTTTGTGAGATACATGATTAAATAAATAAGTTTCCATGATTCTAATATGCAAATGTACTTTGTCAAATGATTTGTTTGCCTATCTCCTAAACTCTAGGACATTAATTCAAGCCATCTAATATGTCACTAAGAGAAAGGTAAAGATAATTCCTTGCTTTTAAAAAATAGTTACAATTTATATCAGATATGATTCTGGTTTGGACTTTGGTTTATAACACATGGTTCAATATTGCAGCTGTTTTAAGCTTACAACATGTAGTTGACTCAAAGTCAGCATTGACTATTTGCTTCTAATTTTACAGCCTGACTATCATTCAAATAATTTTGTAATTAGTTATCATGCTTAGGATGGCTTTCTTTTCCTGAGCCCTGGCAATCCCTTTAATATGGATACACGGACCAGTGAGATAAGATGTCTCAGCTGGTAAAGGCACCTACCACCAAGCCTGATAACCTGAGTTCAATCCATGGGACCCACACGGTGGAAGGAAAGAACTGACTCCTTCAGGCTGTCCTCTGACCTCCACATGTGTGTTGTGGCACTCAAGTATGTGTGCGTGCACATGGACACACATGGACATATAAACACACAAATAAATGTAATTAAAATAGATTTCCCACATCCCAAAACCATGAACAAATTATACTGTAGGATTGTAAACCAGCAGGCTCGTTTGAGTCGATCGTCTTGTAAACTCTGTGTTTGGAAACTGAAGTTTTCTATTTTTATTCTCTTACACTGTAAATCAACAGTTAACAAACTTAAAAGCACTTGTAAAATCTTTCTGCTTTTGGGGTCCTACTGTCTCTGTTAAGCCCACAGATGATGCAGTTGGATGACTATGGCTGGATTTGGCCAGTGGACTAGTTTGAGACCCGTGCTCTAAATCATGCCCCCTTCACATGTATCTGTTGGGGTGGTGATGACTTCAATAGTCACCTTACAACCACCTTTTGTGAAGCATCTTGGTTCCTTTCCCCACCTTACCTTCACGAAGTTCACTGTTGAATAGTAAACCCACGGGATACAATTGGGATCTGAGGGTCCAGGACCTGATCTTTTGGGGACATTCCATCTGTATGTTTTTACTTCCCCTGAAATGGAGGAAGAAATGGAAAGGGCTTGTTAGATTTTCCTGAAGGAATATGAGCAGATCTTTCTGTATTTTGCTGGATGGCGAGCTGGACATAAGTGCCATTTGTTAGACATGTTCTTAGAAACTCACATCTTAATTCCTTCAGTTTCAAAATGAGATAGCACACCTGTGATTTCAGGCTCTCGCCATCCTATAGTTTGCTTGTTTCTGCTGTCAACTAGCACACACTCAGGGCATGAAGATGTACTTTATAGCTCACTGCTTATCCTGAGTTTTGTGTCTCCTTCCCAAGCCATCCTTTGACATACTTGTGTTATCAAGGGTCTCAATCTTTGCTTCTGATGCTGTGACAGTTAATATTATACCATCAAGACAGGATCTGGAACTATCAGGGAGAAGCCTCCAGGCACATCAGTGAGGGATTATCTAGGGTATATCAGCCTCTGGGTATGCCCGTGAGGGATCTTGATTAGGTTAACCAAGGAAGGAAGACAGGCCCCACTATGGGTGGCATCATTCCCTGGGCTGGGATCCTGGACTGAATAAAAAGGGAAAAGTGAGCTGAGCACCAGAGTTCATCTGTCTTTGCTTCCTAACAGCCTCTGCCATGATGGACTGACTGTCTCTGTGAACCAAAATAAACTCTCCTTAAGTTGCTTTTGTCAGAGTATTTTATCAAGCAACAGGAAGAGTAGCCAAGACAGATGAGAATCCCCAGTGAACTCTGTGCGACCTCTTTACTCAGTCCTCCTCTCCTCCAGGAAGTTCAAACATTTTGAGTTTGAGATTTGAGCACAGGTATGTTTTGAAAGCTGTTCATGTAGGTGGGCAGGTTGCATTCCGGCTAGAACCAGAATCAGAGAGACCTAGTTCTAAGTCTCAAACCTCAAACCTACGTAAACTTTTTGGTTTTACTTATTTATTTATTTTGAGACAGGGTCTTCTCTGTAACGTGCACTGACTCACAAACCTGCCTCAGCTTCCCAAGCACTAAGAATTGTAGGCATGTGCTACCTGCCTGGAAGTTTTCATTTAACTGACAGTTGGCAACCTGCTTAACTTCAGTGATCTGTAATTTCCCTCCCTGTGAACTGGGTTCATCGTCCTGGTTTTTTGGATTTTTGTGAGGTTTAAATGAAATAATATGATTTGAATACACAGGGAAGTGATTCACATTTTTATTTTGGTTTTGTTTTCTGAAACAAAGCCTCTTTATGTAGCTCCAAGGGAAGACAGAAAACATGGAAGATTCAGGGACAAAGGGCTCCTCACACCTGTGCCTTGATGCCTGTGCACAGTCAGTGTCTCTTTCAGAGAGAGAACTCAAACAACAGCACTGAAACAGCTAATGAGTCATGCTTTAAGCCACCAGGATGTCTTAGGCTCAGGCCCTTTGACTTTAACCTTGTCAGTACTCCTCGTCATCCACAAACTTGAACAGTGGACCTCATAAACCACCTTATAACTTCACCTACAGAAGGAAAGGAAATTCTTTAAAGTATGAACGAAAGTTCCCAGAAAAACTGCATCGTGAAACTGAATCTTCTGCACAAGCCAATCAACTGCTAAGAACTTCAGTGCTAGTGGAGAGTTTGGAATGTTGCAGATCGAGTTGAATTATCATTTATCCATTTATCTTGGGCCATCTTCAGCCCCTAAACAGCTACTCCTTGCCCAACTTTGTTCCTGATTTAACATCCTGTGACTAACAGATAAAACCCTTTTGGAATGAGTTAACTAACAAAGGCCTACCCCCAGCACTCCTACCTGAGTATCATCAGGTAGCATCTGAGCTCACAGCTGAGGTCTCTCCTGCTGTAACAACCTACTTGGTGTGTCCACCGATGTACTTAAAAAGTGTCTTCATTTATGACCTTTCTTTTTTCTGCTGCTATAAAAACTTCATGAACCTGCTTCCACGTTGGAACATGGAATTCGGGGTAACCTGAATCTGTGTTCCCAAGCCAATGCCACTTAGATTTGGCTCCAGAATAAACTCTTTCTTATCCCCTTTGAGGTAAAGTTGTGCTTCTTGCACCAACATAAGCAAACCGGTTCCTTTTTTAACTTAATCCTTAAAACTCTGTTCACTCTTTGAGTTTGTTGTAAATTACATCCATTGAACATATAACCATGGTTAGGACACGTCAAAGCCCACACCCATGTCTTGGGTGTGTACTGTCCTCTTTTTTTTTTTTTTTTTTTTTTTTTTTTTTTTGTCTTTCTGAGGCAGGGGCTTCCTGTAGCAACAGCTGTCCTGGAACTCACTATGTAGACCAGGCTGGCCTTGATCTCACAGAGATCCATCTGCCTCTGCCTCCCAAGGGCTTGGATTAAAGGCATGAGCCACACACCTAGTTCTACTGTCCTCTTTTAATAAACTTCAACTTGGGGGCTGGAGAGATGGCTCAGGGGTTAAGAACACTGGTTGTTCTGGTAGAAGACCTGGGTTCAAATCCTAGCTCCCCCATGGCAGCTAACAACTGTCTGTAACTCCAGTTCTAGAGAATCTGACGGCCTCTTCTGTCCTCTTGGGCATTGCATGACATGGGTGCACTTACCTGCATGCAGGCAATACACTCACACACATAAAATAAAAATTATATATATATTTATATATATATAGAGAGAGAGAGAGAGCTCCCCCTCTTCTTTTGCAACAGGGTCTCACTATATAACCCCAGCTGGCCTGAAACTCTCTAGGTAGAGCAGACTAGCTTCAAAATCACAGAGATCTGCCTGCCTTTGCCTCCTGAGTGCTGGGATTAAAGGTGTGGGCCACCACACCTGGCCTATAAATAAAATATTTAAAAAATAAATAAGTTAAAATTAAAATTAAAAAAAATAAGCTTCGACTTGCTTCATCCTGAAACACTTTTCTGTGCGGAAGTCTGGATCTCAGCTCTACCTGAGTAGATGATTCTGGAAAGAGTTCCTCAGGCCATGCAGTCAACAGTTCCATCTCCCACTGGTGGCCTCAGCCTGAGCCCCTTTCCTCACCCTCCTGAGTACTGGGATCAGTTGCACACACCACCATACATGGTTGGTTTTTATGTGCATTAGTAACAAATACATGTCGCCCCTGTGGGTAGACAACACATCTACACATCCACTTTGGCTGATCCAGGGACTTTCCCAGAGTCAATATATCCAAATTGGCTTACAAGCTTTCAAAAGACCCAAATGAAAGCTTGCTCTAAATCAGTAGTTCCTTTGAACTGTCAGCATCGCGCCCCACCCCCTCAGAACAACACACCCATGCCTGCGTAGTGTGCACTAAGCAAAATAATGGCTATGTGCACCTTTGCCCCATTTTTGCTAATGCAACATGGGCAGAGATACAACTTTAGGCCTGGTTTCCAGTGTGTCTCCTTGAGGCCCCTTCATCCTGCTAATGGTGAGAGAAGCGTTGGTATTGAGCTTTCAGTTTGCAAATGACTGCAGGAAGCTGTAACTGGAGTCGCACTTATCAGTGTTCAGCAGGTGGTAAAAGTGTTCAGTAACTTTATCAAATGCTTTAACTAAAAAGATCAAGTTTGATAGGGGCTGCTTGCTTTTCTTTTTAAATTAAAAAAATTTATTTCTTATTTGTATATGAGTGATGTATGTGTGATGAGTGTGTGATGTGTGTGAGATGATATGTGTGTGATGTGTGTGAAATATGTTGTGTGATATGTGTGTGATGGTGTGTACATGATGTGTGTGTGCTGTGTGATATGTATGTGATAAGTATGTGATGACATTTGTGTGATAATGTGTGATATGTGTGATGATATGTGTGAGATGATGCATGTGTGATGTGTGTGATATGATGCATGTGTGATGATGTGTGTGAGATGTGTGTGTGATGTATACGGTATGTATGTAATGATGTGTCTGTGATGATGTATGTGTGATAATGTATGTGTGATGATATGTGTGATGTTTGTGATATGTATGTGATGTGTGTGACAATGTGTGTGAGATGATGCATGTGTGATATGATTATGTGTGATGATGTGTGTGATGTGTGTGATATGTATATGATGTATGCATGATAATGTATGTGTGTGAGATGAGTGTGTGATGTGTGTGATATATATGTGATGAGGTGTATGTGATGTGTGTGATGTATGTGTGATATGTATGTGATATGTATGTGATGTACGTGTGATAATGTTTGTGTGATGATGTGTGTGAGATGATGTGTTATGATGTGTGTGATACGTATGTGATGTGTGTGATGATGTGTGTGATGATGTATGTGTGACAACGTATGTGTGATGATGTGTCTGAGATGATGTGTGTGTGATGTGTGTGTTATGCATGTGATGAGATATATTTGATGATGTATGTGTGATAATGTGTGATGATGTGTGTGAGATGTGATGATGTATGTGTGATGATGTACGTGTGATGTATGTGTGACGATGTATGTGTGATGTGTGTGATATCATGCATGTGTGATGATGTGTGTGAGATGTATGTGATGATGTATGTGTGATAATGTGTGATGATGTGTGTGAGATGTGATGATGTATGTGTGATGTATGTGTGATGATGTACGTGTGATGTATGTGTGACGATGTATGTGTGATATGTGTGAGATGGTATGTCTATGAGTGCAGACACTCATGCCATGGCCTGCATGTGGTCAGAGGACAGCTCTTGGACCAAAGTTGCTGGAACAACTAGACGTCCATATGTGGAAAAAAACGAAAGAATATAGAAAAGACTTTGCACCCTTTACAGAAATTAGCCCCAAATGGATTATGGACTAAATGAAATGCAAAACTATAAAACTTATAGGTGATAACACGGGAAAAAGCTGTCTTTGAGCATGTTAGTGACTTTTTAGACATACCAGCAAGTCTCAGTCTATGAAAGAAACCATTGATAAGCTGCACTTATATTAATAACTTCTGCTCTGTGAAAAAAATGTTAAGAAAATGAGAAGGCGGTTCATAGACCAGGAAGAAACATTTGCTGAAGACACATCTGATCAAGGCCAAAATGTACAGAGAATTGTCAAAAGACAATGTAAGAAAACAAACAACTTGATTAAAATATATGCCAGAGTCAAGGTCCAAGGAAGACACACACACATGAAAAAATTCTCCAAGTTGTATGCTATTAGAGAGAGTACAGGTTAAAAATAATGATTTGATAGCACCATATACCTGTTAGAATGACCAAAATCTAACACCCGCGTACTAGCCAGGGTATGGCACAACAGGAAGTCTCCTTCATTCAAGTAGAGATGCAAAACGGCGCGGCCGCTTTGGAAGACAGTTTCACAGTTTCTTTAAAAACATCCTATCTTTGCCCCATGGTTCAGGCATGTGTCCTTTAGTATTTATACAAAGGAGCTGAATATCAGTGTCTATACAGAAACCTGCACATGGATAATTTATAACAGTTCTATTCTGGTCATTACAGCCAAAGCTTGGAAGCAACCAAGGCAGCCTCTGATAGGAGAGTGGATAATGTGGTACATCCACACAGCAGAGCAGTCCTAAAATGAAGTGAGCTGTCGCTCCATGAAAAGGCATGGGGTATCACTCAGTGAAAGAGTTATCTGCTGGACTAGATGGTTCCAGTCATGATGGAGAAGCCAAACTACGGAGGACATAATTCAGTAGTTGCCCAGCATCAAAGGAGAAGGTGGGACAAACAGGCTGAGCCTGGAAAAGTTTCAGGGTGCTGAAACTATTCTGTGTGGTACTATGGTCACTGTGCACTTGTCAAAGTCCGTATTGTTTTCACACCAACAGTAAATGCTAGTGTAAATTGTGAACTCTGGGTGATGCTTGTCAGGCTCAAGATGTAACAAATGTTCCTCTTTGGTGACTGGTGGTTTGAGTAAGAATATCCAGGCTCAAATATTTGAGGACTTGGTCCCCAGTTGGTGGCGCTGTTTGAGGGGGTATAAGAGGGGCAGCCTTGCTGGAGGAACTATGTCACTGGAGGCGGGCTTTGAGGGTTCACAGCCGGGGCCCACTTCCAGCTCCCTCTCTGCTTACTGTGTCCTTGATCTGAGCTCTTGGCTTCCTGCTCAGGCGGCCTCTGCCATGCCTCCCCTGACATTATGGGCTCTCCTCATGGAACCATAAACCAAAATACACTTTCTTCCATAAATTGCCTTTGGTCATGGTTTTATCACAGCAACAGGAAATTACCCAATCCAGTAGAGAATGTCGATTATTGGGGAATGAAGTATTTGGGGGGAATAGGAGGTGGGAAATCTCTACTATCTTCTCAATTTTGCTGTGAAATGCAAACAGCCCTCCAAAATAAACTTTATAAACAATAAAAAAGCACAACCAATATTCTACCTTGTTTATAAAGCTTTCTCTAATTACATCTTGCCCTAATAAACTCATAGCGTGCATAATCTGCATTACTACTGAAATGATTCATCTTGCTGCCTTCCCGCCCCACAACTCATTTTAGTCTCTTATGAAAAATGTGTGGTGAAGAGGATAGGTCCTGGGTCAAACAAACAGGACAGGGGTCCATCATTGCTCACCCAGGGTCTGGCCTAGTCATTTACCCCTCTGTGGTTCAGTCATTTGTTAAGTGAACGAAACAACACTGTATTTCATCAGTTATAAGGGTTTACTTTTTTTTTTTGTCTTTTTGAGGCAGGGTCTCCCTGTAGCCCCAGCTGTCCTTGAACTCGCAGAGATCTGCCTGCCTCTGTCTCCCGAGTGCTGGGACTAAAGGCGTGTGCCACCACACCAGGCCAAGGTTCACATTTTAACAAACCCAAAGTTAGGACACATACTAAGTTTGTAGCATGTTAAGGTTTAACTGGCAGTGTGCGTTCTCCTCTTATTTTAGTAACAGATAAAATACAAGGGACTTATAATTAGAGGCTTCAGCGCTGACAGCCTGGCATCTGCTGTGCTGGATTGTTGTAAGGAGGGTTGAGGGTTTGTTTTTCCTGTTTATGTTAAACAAAAAGCATGCTCTCTAGCACAGGTTAGCCCTCATGTGTGTTGGCCATTGTTATTTCTGACTGCCCTGTAAAGTCTGTAATGGAGATTTCCTAAATACTTAGTCACTGGATAAGTGATGCTCTTATACCAGGAGTGACCGGGAAGTGGCTGAGACACATGGAAATGGCTCTCCCAGACCCCGAGGATCAGAAGAGTAGAGCGTGGCGTTCCTGTCAGGATGGAGCAGACCTCCAGTGTAGCTCACCTGGCTGTGTGATGGGCACTTCGAGGCGCTTCCCACTGTCGGAATCCTCCACACCCTGGGCTGAGATGGAGTAGGGCCGACTGGCCTTGTTCTTAAAGATGATGAGGATGGAGTCACCAACCTCAGCGTGGATCATTGGGCCTAAAGGTAAAACACAGCTGGGTGTATGGTCACTGTTCTCTATAACATCAATGTACATTAAACACAGGCAGCACTGGGCAGGTTAAAACAAAGGTTATCTTCTCCATCCCTATACTTTCTTTAGAGAACAATTCTATGCAGTATTGGATACCATGTCATTATTAGCAATAGGACCAACCTGAACTCAAATTCTGCCTCCTTCCCTTATCTGAAGGCTTTGAGTGAATCATGTAATCAGAATCTCAACTTCCTCACCTGCAAAATATGTTACTAAGACTTTTCCCATGGGGCTACAGTAAAGATTAAATAGTATGATGGCATGTGTGTACAAGGTTCATTCAACAAACGCTGAACTTCTTACTACCACTGAGCAATACTCTCCAGGCAAAGCCATAGCTCATATGGTATACTGAGTTTCAGTGGTAAATGGGTGTGTTAGTAGTAACAAGAACCCTCTGGAATGGTGGGTATTAAAGGAATTTGTGATCTTCACAGCCATGTCGCTAATGCACATCTACAACAGACTCTCCATTCACAGTGTGGATGCTGTGATAGTTTAATTATCAACACAACCTAGAATCATCTGGGAAGAGAGTCTCAGTGAGTGGCTATCTAGATCAGGTCGGCCCGTAGTAGATCACGTCTTGACTGCGCTCATTGATGTGAGAAGACCCAGCTTGAAAGTAGATGGTGCCATTGCTTGGGGTGGGGATCTGGCCTGGGTAAGTGGAGAGCGAGCTGAGTATATCCCATCTGTGCATCCTTCCTCTTGCGTGTGCATGTCATGTGACCACTTCTCAAGCTCCTGCTTCTGTGACTTCCCCAGCAGTGATGGATTGTTACCTGGAAGGGAGTCAAATAAACCCTTTCTCCTCTAAGTTGTTTTCTGTCAGAAAGGAAACTAGGGATGACAACTTGACACACGTGCACTTTCCGGCCTGTCCTGTGAACACTTTTCTGTTGGGAACAGCTGGCTTGTGTGCCTATGCAGATGAGCCTGCTCCTGGGTCCAGGTGAAGCTGGGTCAGCCTGAATGGGTGATGCCCTCCTATGCCTCTCATTTTGCAATGCTAAGGACACGGCCTGCCCTGACAGAGCATGGGGCTTACAACCACCTTCGTGAGGCACAGCCTTGTGGTGTGCAGACTACATTGTATAAGTGTCTCCCACCTGTTGCCTACAATTCTCTCTTGGGAATTTTGTGTATTCCACATTCATCCTGAGATACACTGTACACTCAGGACAGTCAGGGGTGTGGCAACACCTGACTGCTCCTCATTGAAGCATTTGGTCCATTCTATATTCACCCTGACTGAGATATACTCTGCACTTAGGACCAGTCAGGATGCAGCAATGCCTGAACACTCATCACTGAAGCAAGCCCCAGCTTTGGTTGCTTTTCTTAGAAACATTACTAAATCATAAATAAATTTAGAATCTGGGCCTATAATTATCTTCAGAGGAAAATATTTAATATGAATTGGGATGTTTCTGTAGAGCACTCTTTTTTTTATTGACCAAGATGAACAAGAAACTCCTGTTTTTAAACAGTAAGGACAGGCATAGTAGAGACAGATAGATGTTTGAGTTTGGAGACATTAAAATCATCATTCATGGGGCTGGAGAGATGGCTTGGCAGTTAGAGCACTGGCTGGTCTTACAGAGGACCCAGATTCAGTTTTAGCTCCCACATGGTAGCTAATTCCAGATCAGGTGATCTTACATCCTCTTCTGGCCTCCATGGGTATACCTACATACATGCAGGCAAAACACTCATACACATAAAATAAAAATAAGTAAATCAAAAAATAAAAATCAGCCAGGCATGGTGGTGCATGCCTTTAATCCCAGCCCCTGGGAGGTAGAGGCAGGTGGATCTCAGTGAGTTCAAAGCCAGTTGGTATACAAAGTGAGTTCCAGGCCACCTGGGGCTACAGGAAGACCCTGTCTTAAAACAAACAAACAACAACAAAAGAAATGATTCTTTAGTCTTTACCATTTATACCGTCAAGGCTTCCTGTGGTGGTAACAAAGAGCAGAGACCTTCTAGCTAGCAGTGTGATGGGACACAGGGAGCAGTGGTGGACAGAGGTGGTCCTTCCATGTACCCAGGGAGTCCCCCGGAGCCCAGGCTGCTCTTTGAGCCCAGCCCCCTCAGCAAGACCACTCCCTTTCCTCAGAGCTCTGTGGACACTTAGGGCTCAACTGACTGACTCATGAATTACTCATCTGCAGTGACAAACAAGTTCATGTGCCAAGTGGTAATAAAACACGGAGGTGGGGGTGAGGAGGCATTTAATAATTATCAGGCTGACATCACAGCTCATTTTAATATTCTTAAAAATATTTTATTTATATCTTATTTTATGAGTGTAATGCCTGCATGTAGGTAGGTGCGCCCATGTCATGCAATGCCCCCAGAGGTCAGAAGAGGACATCAGATCACCTGGATCTGGAGTTATAGATGGTTGTTAGCTGTCATGTGGGTGCTAGGAATCGAACCCAGGTCCATCCTCTGAAAGAGCATTCAGTGCTCTTAATTGCTGAGCCATCTCTCCAGGCCCTTGTCTTAATATTGTAAGCACTACATGAAGCTGTACTAGAAAAGTTATCTTTGTGTTTAAAAGCAGAATAGTATTTTAAAAGTCCTCTAGATTGGTCCTCTGCCTTAAAAACTTTCTCTTCCAGTGGGGCTGGGTCTAGTTCTCCGAGGTGGGGGACAGTGGGGAGGATGCAGGAAGGGCTTCACTGATGCAGATGCCCAGGCAGTTCTGAGAGTTCATGGGCCAGGCCTCCTGACCTGAGCCAGACCTGTCTCCCTTGGCACCTATGTCACGTCAAGGGCTCCTCTTGGCTCACACTTGGTTTTATGTGTGTTGCCATGGTACTGTGCACAGATAAGCCAGGACCTCAAGCAGGTCCTGCAGACATTCTGCCTGATGTACTGAGGCAGCAGCCTGCTTCCAGTGAAAATTCTCCAGCTCAAAAGAGAGGAAGGAAAGAGGCTCAAGTGTGTAGACATCAGGAAGATTGCCCTGAAGGCAGGGATCTGTGTGCATTGCCTGGAATTTTACTACGTCTCTGTCTCTATGTATGTGTGTTATATGTGTGCTCCTCTGTCTTACGTGCAGGTGTGCTCCTCTGTCCGTGTATGTGGAGGCTGGTCAGTGTCTATCTCTCTCCACCTTATTTTGAGCTCACTAGACACAGAGCTCATTGATTGGTTAGACTGGGTGGCCAGTGAGCCACCTGGACCCTCCTATTTCTGTCCCTCAGTGCTGGGATCACAGAGGGACATTGTGTTACCAGATTTTTATGTGGGTGACGGGGATCTGAACTCAGATCCTCATGCTCATGCAGCAAGCACTTTACCAATGGAGCCACCTGCCCAGCCCCATGACTGCTCTTTGTATGAGCTGAATGTATAGTACATCCCCTAATAGTGGCAGACCAGGAAGATATTGCAGGGATGCTGCTCTGCTCCTCCCATCTCTACCCAGTCTAACAAGATGTGGGGTGTGTGTGTGTGTGTGTGTGTATGTGTACATGTATGTCATGTGTGGCATATGGTGCCTGGCTGAAATTTTCCATACCCAGGAGTTGTAGATGCTCCTCCCGTGGTGGTCGGGCTTTGATCTCCACAAATTCTCCATTTGTGTATTCCCTATAAACCACCTTCTTATACTGAGAGCCAATCCAATTTTCAGTGTGGTTCATAAATATATCTCCATGTCTGCAAATAAGAGGCATCATAAATTAAAGTTATCAGAAGAACTGTGAGGGTCTCAGCGGTATGGGGGTGCTCTGAGGTGGCCCTCCCTAACCCTGGCTGCGACCGAGTCTGGTCGCAGCCTTGCATAACTCTCTGAGAGCAGGGCTAGGACTTAGCACCTCAAAGCTGCTTAGGTCATGACGGGAGTGGCCCAGCATTGGCCCATGGCCACCCTTGGAAGCCATCACTATCACTCACTGCTGGGCTCTGAACAGGGCCAACCTCAGACAGTCCTAAGGGTCCCTAGAGGCTGTGCTTATCTGGCTGGTACCAACGAATGACACCGACACCGACACCGACACACCACACACACACACACACACACGCACACGCGGCCCTCACTACTCTAAATTCCCTCGGGTCTCACAAGTGCCAGTCTGGTTACCTTGTTCTCGTCCACTTTAAAGATCTCAAGCAAGCCTGCTGGTTGAATGTTGTGAATGCGCATGTTCAGATTCAGTGGATCCTGTTACTCATGGTTGTTATATTCTAGAAATCTGCCCAGTGCTGAGCTGTAACCTTGTTTTCTGAGCTCCCATTTAAAGGCACTTGAACACACATTGGTGTGTGTTAACACTGACCCACAGTGCTGTAACTCGGCCTGAATCCAGCGTCTCGGATTTTTGTACTCTCCATAGACACACCCGGCCCTGCTGTGCTCGGAGAGGAGACTGTGCTTCTGCAGTGCTGCCGTTTAAAACAGCGGAATCTCCCAGTAAAGCACAGAAATGAGGTGACAGTACTACGCAGACCAGCACAAAGGAAATCTGTTGATGGTGGGTCAGACAAGGGAGTGAGTGGGAGATGCTTCGTTGGACTCAGTTGTGGACGTGTGCATCTGGCCATGCGTGTTTCTGTAGCTCTCCAGATGTCTCCAGATGACATAGGAACCCCGAGTGTTTCTAGGTGATTTCAGGATGCTCAACAGTGGTACCTCCGGTGTGGGTCCTCAGGGCCTTCCTGGGGAGCTGGTCTTTTACCCCACTCTCTGGGAGTGGGGCATTACATGTCAATTTCAACAAGTAAACCATTTACAAAGGTAAAGTCTATGAAAACCAAGGACCAGCTTTGTGTGTCTGTGTATATCTAATCTGTCACTAAATGAAGAAAAAACTAAACAACAGCAGGGCACCTGGGTCCCTGCTACTGACACAACCTCTTTCCCCATCCCCTCTGCAGAGTGGTCCCCAGCTCTAAGTCTGACCAGTTGCTCCTACTGGGAAACCCTTAATGGCTTCCCCCTGCAAACCTGCTCAGTTTGGCTCAGGCCTCACACTACCTGCTGTTGCCACATCCCCGGCCTGACTGTCCATCACTGGCCACCCCCAAACCTGTACTCTGGTCATCGCGCACATTTGCTCTCTTGAACGCGATGGGGGCCCCCGGCTTCCTCATACTGATTGCTCGGCCAAGAACACATCACTCTTCCTCAAATGCCTTTCTCTGCATACCCCGTCTCAAAGACTGCTTCCTCTGGGAAGCTCTCCCTGACCACCTACCCTACCAGTCTCCTGGCTGGGACTGTGGTTCTGTTGTGAGCTCCCGCTGAACTGCCCCTGTTAGAAATTGCCTCCCTCCACATTTGCTCCAGCATCATCTTCATGGACCATGAAGTCAGCGTGGAAAAGCCTCGGTGCGTGCTTCTTTTCCAGCGTTCGCGCAGGCGCACGCACAGCAGTCAACGGCTGTACGTGCACTGAGTACACTCCCTGCAAAGAGACACAGCTTTTCCCTTTAATTTTCCAGGAGTCCCAGCAATGCCGTGGCCGGCACAGACCTAGAGCCGCGCGCTGTGGTTTCCCAGCTTTCCTCCTCTGCAATAGGCACACAGTTGAGTGCTGTGTACAGACTATATCATCATCTGACGCTGGGCAGAAGCTGATCTAGTGAGTTGAGTGTGCTGTGAGGATCATATGACCTATTATTTATAAGTCTTAGTAGAAGCCTGGTGCATAATTAGTGCTCCATAGCTGATCATTATGGTGAGTCTAGGGGTGGTTAAGTTAAACATAAGCTGGTCTACAAGCTCGGGAGTGTTAGAAATATAACTTCGTGAATTTTGGGGATAGGGGAGTGTGAGACAGGATCTCCCTGTAGCCCCAGCTGGCCTAGAACTGGCGATGTAGCTGTGTAGACCCGGCTGGCCTAGATCTCACAGAGTTCTACCTACCTTTGCCTCCTGAGTACTGGGATTAAAGGCACCACCACACCCCGGCTGTAACTTCATTTTTCTTTAACAGCTTAATTTCTGCTTTTGGATTTGCTCTTACTGTACAAATCTGATCCCAGAATTGTGCTGATGTCCATGTGTTGTCTTTCTGGGATCCTGAGGCCTTCTCCATTAAAAAGGAACCTCACAAAAAAGACTTCTATGTACCCAGATGGTGCAGAGGGTCTGTACTGGTCAGGACACTAAAAGTCTCAGAGATGACCTGTTCCAGAGAACACTTAAAAATAAATAGCCTTGGGGCAAAAGCAGAGGGTGTGATAGTGTTCATCTCCAAGCTTAGAGGCTGAGGTGGGAGGATCACAAGTTCAATTCCAGCCTAGGCAACTTGAGACCTGTCTCAAAATACAAAGCCAGTGATGTACGCCAGGGGGAGAGTGCTTGTGTGCCATGCATGAGGGCTTTGGTTTGAGCACTTGTGCTGAAAAAGCCAAAACGGGCACAAACTGGGGCACAGAGAGCACATGTCCCTCAGTGCCTGCCAGTGGACACATAACAGAGGTGCCGTCAGGAGAAGCCGCCGTTTCAATTCTGTGCCACATTAAAAAGAGCTTTATTATTATTGTGTGAGCATGTGTGTGCATGCAGGCACGCATGTGGCATGGATGGCATGTGTGGTGGTCAGAGGGCAACTTTGGGGAATTGGTTTTCTCCCTCCACTGAAGGATCCAGGGATCGAACTCAGGTTGTCAGCCTTAGGCAGCAAGCGCTCTTACCCACGGAGCCATCTTGCTGGCTCCTGTGCTACATTTTTATCTATAGAATTTGGTGTGCTTTGAGCGTGTGACAGTGTCCTTATCCTGCCTTGCTTTGACTAACTTACAGCCAATGACCAGAGTGGCAGAGAGTTCATGCATTTTGCCCTCTTCCCACCAGAACCCTCTAGTTTTCTATGTCACTTAGTAGAGGGTCCCTAAGCCTGAAGCTGGACCTTCAGCTTGTTCGGACAGATGGGGCTTCAAACAGAAGTTAAAACGCCTGACAGAAATAAGGAAGGTTATACTCCACTCTAAGCCAAGATGTGCACACAGGAACATTATTATGCAATTACTTCAGGATGATGGCAGCTGCTTAGTGAAATAATCGTTTTAGAAAAGGCCAAATTAGTCCTCATTTTCTATGGCGCCAGCCATGTGTTTAGCTTGTACATGTTTCCCAGAAGGATGTCTAGATTACCAAGTGAGTCAGTGAGTAATTGCATGGGTTTTGAGTGTTCTGGCCCTCCAGGCAAATTTTCTCCACAATTACCTTGAAGATTCTTTCCCACTTAACCATAAGGTGGTGCTGTTGCAGTGGCTTGGCCTCAAAACAAAGGCCGACAAGCGCAGAAAGGTGTGTTGAGAGTGGAGACAACAGTGTGTAGCGGTGTCTGCATGCCACAGACTTGAGGGTGCCTGGGGAAGGGCTGGGGCGAGGAGGAGGAACTGGACCACAAAAGACGGTGTGGTGTGTTGCCTGGATCTAGGTTCGGCTCCCCCTCTGCCAAGAGCCAGCTGATGCCTCATCCTCTGCACCCAAGCTCCCTCATCTGCACATCCAGTTATACCCAAGCAGCAGGCAGTTGTGACACGGAAGAGGTTAACTTCAGGGAGGTCTGCAGTCTGCACCTGACTCCTTTGCTTAACTCTATCCCAGTGTGTCCTGGGGAGCCTGGTCACTGGGGTCCAGGATTAGGACAGTAGAGGACCAGGGCTCAGGTCTGTGAGTGGGCTGAGCACTGCTGATGCTTCAACTTGTAGTCTTGGCTGATGTCACCTCCCATGGAGGACCCGTCTTGCAGATTCTCTGGGCAGCTTAGAGATTTGCTCTTCCCACCTTGATTTGGGGATCTGTTCCAAAGCAATGTGTTCAAACCCTCTCTGGATGCTCCCACTTGGATCTGTGTCCACCAGCCACAAGTCCTACACTCTCTGGTCAACCACAGTCCACCCTTTCATCAGCATTCAAACACTTGCTCTGCCTCGGTTGGTCCTTTGGTCTTGCCCGTCCCACCATTACGATGAGCCTGATGTTCCCTGAACCCTTTCCCTGCACTCTTACTCACAGGTCCTTTCATCCATCTGTCCATCCTACCATCTGTCTGACCATCCACCCATCCATTCATCCATCCGCCCCTCCCTCAGCCATCAAATCCACCCATCCGTCAATCTGTCCATCCATCCATCCATCTGCCCCTTCCTTGGCCATCAAATTCCTCCCTCCCTCCCTCCCTCCGTCACAGCTAGGACACTAGGGGAGTTGCAGGAGCCCACATGGTGACCCCAGGATGGCCTCAGACCCACTTCTAGGGGTGGAGATGGGAGCTTCACTAATCATCTGTGTTCAAAGGTGAAGAATCTCTGCCCGCAGAACTGTGCAGACAAACCCCAGACACTTTCAGGTTTCCACACGTGCTAAGGCCCACAGAACATGCGCATTCCCACCGAAGAGCCCTGGCGGCGGTCCCCATGGTACCTTTCCCCTCCTGCGTCCAAGTGCTGCTTTTCGAACTCCCAGTTTTTGTTAGGGGCATAATCCCATTCTACCTCTTCAGCGGCGATGAAAAAGGTTCTTAGCATCCCGTAGGGCGGCTCAGAAGGGTCCCTGTTGCCACAGCTGCTGACCTCATAGATCTGACTCATGCCTCGAGCGAAGTGGTGCAAGGTAGAGCAGAACACCTTGAACGTACCTGGGAGAGAAGCGGCTTGGCATTGCGCCCATCAGGCCATGCTGCTGCTGCTGCTGATCTGGCCCTAGCAACCTCGCACATTTTATCCCTACATCTAACCGGTAAGACAATTTTAAAACACTGGTTTCATGGTATTTTAAAAGCAGATCCCATGGGAAATAAATTACTTTAACTGGAGTACTTTCGGAGGAAAAAAAACTGCATGAAATTCATTTGAAGTAGAAAAACAGCCACATTTGTAGTAGAAAAAAAATCACAGTGTTGTTACCAAGAAAGGGCTTCTTTGGGTTGGCCCTGCTAACACACACCTGCTCACAGCCAGTCCTATGACTGTCTCAACCCAGCCCAGTTTACAGAGAACTAATTACCTCGAGAGGAAGGGCTTAGGCAACGATTAAATTAGACCACAGTGCGGGATTATGCCCTAAAGGACTTTGTAAATTAGAAAGCAGGTAAACGTGTAAAGTCAAATGGATTACTTCATTGCAGCCTTGAGCCAGGGAGGGGCTCATGTGTAGCATGTCATATGAAAATGAGAAAGAAGTTTCAACTAGATTTCTCTACAAAATATCAACCATGTCGGGCTGAAATTTATGTTATTTTTTATATTATTATTTTCTATTTTATGTGTATGAGTGTATTGCCTGCATGTATATTAAGTGCACTTGTGTCCTGAAATGCCTGTGGAGGTCAGAAGAGGTCATTGGATCCCCTGAAACTGAAGTTATAGATGGTTTTTAGCCTCCATGTGGGTGCTGGGTATCGAACCCAGGTCTTCTGCAAGAACAGCCACCAGTGCTCTTAACCGCTGAGCCAGCTCTCCTGCCCCCTATGTAATTTTTTTTAAACTGAATTTTCTAGCTGCATTGGTGAAGTGTCCCTAATTTGAGTCAAAACTGTACCTGTTTCTAGTCTGTGACGCGACAAGGTCTACGAATCTTTCCTAGAGGAGGACTTCATAAGGATGAATTGGAATTTGGTCACCTAGATGGACCTGCCATGTTTACCTGCATGGTCTGGCTGCATGAACACCGTTGTGGACATGTGGGGAAACAGAGCCAGGGAATCTCGATGAGTCCCACGCAGGTCAATGGTGTTGCCCTGAAAATAAACTCCGTGCATGTCCGTGTCGGTGCCCATCCCAATCAAGTGCCAGGAGACTCTGTCTTTCTTACACATGCTGAGGCCCGGCTGGCTGCCATACATGTAGCCATTAATAGCTAAATGGAAGACAGAAGATGGTCAGCACCCACTTTCATTCTACAGACATACTGAGAACACACCACCTTAGTGGGACTGTCGACAGATCATGTGACCTGCACAGAAGATCCTTTTGTTAGGGAATAAACACTACTTGGAAAAAGCCATGTGGTAAGTCAGTTTAAAATGGGAACTAGAATTAACAACAAGTAGTGAAATTATAAAATTTAGCACCACATGGAAGGGCATTATTCCAAGAATCGCTTAAGAATAAACCAGGTGGTTTTCTTACAAAATTTTTATGACAAAACTGTCTCATAGTGTGATATGGGACCTTTCATTTCACATTTTGTGTTTGCACATCATAAAGAAAGCATCATCCTTATAAAAATATCAGTTGACTTCGCCATCTCCTACTCTTCCATACAACTCAGTACAAAAATCACTTCCTTGGAGTCTCTTATCTTGTCGTTGCCCTTCTCAAACGACTCATCGGTTACCAACTCAAGTAATGCAATTCCTTTGATTCCGACAGACCTTCATTTGCCAATGGCTCATTTGCTTCTTTTTAAATTTATTCATTTATTTCAATTTTATATGTATGAGTGTTTGTCTCCATGTATGTAAGTACACCACATGCATGCAATACCAATGAATGTCAGAAGAGGGCATCAGATCCCCTGGAACTGAAGTTACAGGCAGTTGTTAGCCACCATGTGGGTGCTAGGATCGAACCCAGTGCTCTTACCCACTGAGCTATCTCTCCAGCCCCAGCATTTCCTTCTTACACTTATCAGAGATTTGTTTACCATATTCATAGATTTTGAATCATTTAGCAGAGTTCAAGCATTATGATCAGTGGAGACAGATTTGGGAGTTATAAGGGAACGGTACATCCATGATAGGTTAGCACGTGAGTGAATAAACTCACTTAATGATAATGTTTCCTCTCTTACCCCAATAAGAACTGAAGAGTCTTAGGTGTGAAGACTGTGATGGCAATCTACACTATTAGCTTGCCTGGACTTGGAATCACCTAGGAGACACACTTCTGCATGTGTCTGTGAGGACATTTCCAGAGAGGTTTAACCGAGAAGGAAAGGCCCACCTTGAATGTGAGTGGTGCCATTCCCTGAGCTGGGTCCTGGACTGAATAGAAAGGAGACGGCCAGCTGAGCACCAGCATCCACCTCAGCTTCCTGATTGTGGATGTAGTAGTGAGCAGCCTCGAGCTCCTGCCACTCTGCCTTCACCTCCGTGGTGGGCTGGACACTCGAACTGTAGCCAAACAAACCCTTGCACACTTGAGCTGCTCTTGTTGGATATTTTGTTGTAGCAACGTGGAAATAACTCATGCAGAGACCCTCTGTGCCCCCAGAGTAGCAAACTGATTTTGTCTTTTGTATCAATCCCAACCCATTGATAGTTACCTACAGCAGTACCTGGGGAAAGGTGCAGAGCCCACATCCCCGCTCTGTGTGGACAAATGCTACCATCAGATCGGAGTGTCTGACTGGAGGGTACATGGGATTATGCCTCACGCTTGATGTCCTTTAGAGAGAACCATTTTCCTGCTCCTTCCTAAAGCCCAATGTAGCACAGAACAGCTACTGTACATACAAATGACTTTCTGGTTTAGTCCTCTTGCTAATAAAATCACTCTATTTATGTGTCTTCAGGACCAGTGGTATTTGTTAAGTGGATGTAAATCTGGGATTATCTGTAGAAAACCCTGGGACTTTGAAAAAGAACATATTTGGGGGGCATTGATAATACTTTTGCCAGTATATTAGCTAAATTTTGTCTATAGAATTTGAAAGAGTATTACTATACATCATGGTGCCAAGTAATTTAGTACTAGGCTGGCTCAGTGGAGCACCTTTCCTGACTTTAAACTGGTATTTAGAACTTCTTTTCCACACTGTTCATCCACTCATTCATCAAATACCTTCCGGATACAGCTTAGCTAATACACACAGCTCAGCACAGAGCACCATGGGAGACACTTTCTCTTTCGTTTTGTGGCTTTCTCCTTGTAAGCAAGACCGAGCTAGAACTTAATTTATAATCAACATGAAATCTGAATTAATATACATGACTTCCCTGACATGTATCTTTAGGTGACATGAACATGAGCTTTACATGACCAAACTACACTGAGGCTGAATTTGATGTGGCCCATCCAGTTGCTCTGTCTGTATTTTCATATAAAAGTGTCTCCGATGATACATGTTTTTATAATTTGGCCCTCCCACAGTGGAATACTGTTTCTTCATTCCTAGCTTAGTTTCTCTTTTTTACTGTCTTCCAAAAAGTGTGGGGATGCACGTCTGTAATCCCAGCACTTGGGAGGTGGAGGCAGGAGGATCAGGAGTTCAAAGTTCAAGGCCAGCCTGGGCTACATGAGCCCATATCTCAGAAAAAAAAAACAAGTAACTTCAGAAATGCCCATGTCGAGTTATAGCAAAGCTTTTCCTAGAAGCTGGTATTGAAGACACAGTGCTCCCCGAGTTCCATGGGTCCAAGATGGGGCTCTGTTGGGCTCGAGCATCAAGGACCATGGTAGCCTGTGGCCTGGTTTGCAGACTTTGGGGACTTCCTGAGCTGCAGGCAGCAGGGGGCCCTATTTATTCATTCTTCTCTTATACACAATAAACCATTGTTAAATCCGGAACTAGAACGGGCAGTCTCTGGGCTGCTGCTGCTCGCTCTTGCTGGCCTGGAGTCTGGCCTCTTCCTCACTATTCTGCCACGTTAGGCAACACACCTGCCACTAACTGAATCCCGAACCAGCCACAGACAGTCACCAGGTGGCTTGGGTGATGTAAAGAGAGACAGGGAGAAGGAACGAAGTAATTTCTCCCAAGTGGAGATGGGAGAGGAAGCACTAGCATTTTATGAGTTAACCCTCTGGGCATTTGTGAGGCGCACTCTAGTGTGAGAGCACTTGCTATAACTCCTAAGTCTGATGCGGGGGTGTCAGTGATGTTCTACATTTCAGATGTTTTGTGTTCTGGTTCCAATTCTGTTGGAACTCCATCTAAAGCTGATAGGGTATTTTAGAAGTGCTAACATCACAGCAACTTTGGGAGATTCCTTGCAAAACTGAAGGCATGAAACGGCTAACCTCCCAACCAAGAACAAGACCAAAACATCCAAAGTCGAGGTGGTTAAATAAACATTTCCACTTCAACCCAATGAAGCCTCTCGTGGACAGGAGGGAAAGCAGCCGTCCTACCGTGCATCCGGTTGGATTTCACGAACCCTTTGTCCTCCTTGTCTACACTGTGGGGCCGCCAGGTAAACTTCTGAATGTTTTCATCAAGATACCTGCTGAGATTCTCATCGAAGACTGTGAACAGCAGGTAAAACTCCTTGTCTATTCCTTTCTAGAGAGAAGAAAGAAATGATTACATACAAAGCACAGCTTGGGGAGTCTGTAGCTCCACTTCCAGAGTTTACAAGAAGTGGATGAGGGGTTGTTAGCACAGACCCACCTGTTGGGTTTTGAATCAGGACTCTGAGTGTGGCTCCGAGTTCACACGAACCAAGAAAATGTGTCTTTTTTAAAAAACTTTTTTTTAAATAATTTTATTTTTTTTATTTTATGTGTATGCACATATTGTCTGCATGTAGGTAAGTGCACCTGTGTCGTGCAATGCCCACAGAGGTCAGAAGAGGCTGTTGGATCCCCTGGAACTAGAGTTACGGACAGTTGTTAGCTGCCATGTGGGTGCTGGGATTCGAACCCGGGTCTTCTGTAAGAGCAATCAGTGTTCTTAACTGCTGAGCCATCTCTCCAGCCCCAAGAAAACATGTCTTTCATTATTTCTTCCTTCTGCCCACGTGACTTGCTGTGAGGCTCTGTGTCTGTACACAGAAGCCTTTCTACGTTATGGTACCCCAGCTGCCAGTCAGGTCCAATCTTTTCCTTCTTTCTATGAGCTGCAAAGCCCTGACCCCAGCTTCCTCCCCGCACTTCCCTTCCTCCTCGCCTTCCTCCTCCTCCTCCTCCTCCTCCTCTTCCCCTCCCTCCCTCTCTGACTTTATCACTTCACACAGCCTGGCTTTCTGCAGCTGTTTTGCACTTTGGTCTTCCGGACACCAGCCTCATTCCTGCCTCAGGGCCTTATCATGTGCTGCCCCACATTTCTCGTGCCGCTCCATTGTCTGTTCAAGCTGGTCCCCTTCTGGGTTTTGACTGGCTCCCTCCCTCACTCCCTTTAGCTCCTTGCACAAACGTCATCTCCCTAGAGTGGCAGCTCCTGACCACCATCCTCCACCCCGTGGCAGCCCCTGACCACCATCCTCCACTCTGTGACAGCTCCCGATCAACATCCTCCACTCTGTGACAGCTCCTGACCACCATCCTCCACCCTGTGACAGCTCCCGACCGCCATCCTCCACCCTGTGACAACTCCCGACCGCCATCCTCCACCCCGTGGCAGTCCCTGACCGCCATCCTCCACCCCGTGGCAGTCCCTGACCGCCATCCTCCACCCCGTGGCAGTCCCTGACCGCCATCCTCCACCCCGTGGCAGTCCCTGACCGCCATCCTCCACCCCGTGGCAGTCCCTGACCGCCATCCTCCACCCCGTGGCAGTCCCTGACCGCCATCCTCCACCCCGTGGCAGTCCCTGACCGCCATCCTCCACCCCGTGGCAGTCCCTGACCGCCATCCTCCACCCCGTGGCAGTCCCTGACCGCCATCCTCCACCCCGTGGCAGTCCCTGACCGCCATCCTCCACCCCGTGGCAGTCCCTGACCGCCATCCTCCACCCCGTGGCAGTCCCTGACCGCCATCCTCCACCCCGTGGCAGTCCCTGACCGCCATCCTCCACCCCGTGGCAGTCCCTGACCGCCATCCTCCACCCCGTGGCAGTCCCTGACCGCCATCCTCCACCCTGTGACAGCTCCCGACCGCCATCCTCCACCCTGTGACAACTCCCGACCGCCATCCTCCACCCCGTGGCAGTCCCTGACCGCCATCCTCCACCCCGTGGCAGTCCCCGCCCGCCATCCTCCGCCCCGTGGCAGTCCCCGCCCGCCATCCTCCGCCCCGTGGCAGTCCCCGCCCGCCATCCTCCGCCCCGTGGCAGTCCCCGCCCGCCATCCTCCGCCCCGTGGCAGTCCCCGCCCGCCATCCTCCGCCCCGTGGCAGTCCCCGCCCGCCATCCTCCGCCCCGTGGCAGTCCCCGCCCGCCATCCTCCGCCCCGTGGCAGTCCCCGCCCGCCATCCTCCGCCCCGTGGCAGTCCCCGCCCGCCATCCTCCGCCCCGTGGCAGTCCCCGCCCGCCATCCTCCACCCCGTGGCAGTCCCTGACCGCCATCCTCCACCCCGTGGCAGTCCCTGACCACCACGCTCCACCCAATCACATAGTCATTTCACCCTGTGTAATCATCTTCATAACACCTATCTCCACCTGGAACTGAGTTTTTTTATGAACTTCTTTGTCAGAAAAGCTCCAGTTCTTAATTGGATTGTCCAGATCATCAAAATACGGATGAGTGTATCCTGTTCCAGAAATTTGTTTGGCAGGTCAGATTATAACATTTTGATAGCAAATCGAAGCCATTTTTATCAAAGTTTTTTGACATGGGAAGCAAGGTTTCCTGGTATTTTTTTGCCTCTTACCATTTTTCATGTGTATGTGTGCTGCATATGTGTTCCATGTATGTATATGCATGTTTTTCTGCATGTGTGAGGGCACATGTGTGCTAGTGTGCATGTGCATGTGTACATGTGCATATGGAGGCCTGAGGTTGGTGTTAAGAATCATCCCCTGTCGCTCTTCCTGCTTATTCACTGAGCTAGGGTTGCTCAGTTAAACCCAGAACTCGCCGACATGGCTGGTCTCTATCCAGCTTGTTCCACAGATCCCTCATCTCCTTCCAAGGCTGGAAGTGCAGGGAGGCCACCTTGCCCATCTGGCATGTGTGTAGAGATCTGGGGATTCAAGATTGACAGGAAGCCAGATCCGTGGGGCCTCCTGAGTAGCTGTGGAAGACCATGTCCAAGTAGGGGAAACTGGAGAAGGTCCATGTGGAGCTGTGTCTGAGGGGCAGGAGGTGGCCGGGAAGACGACTGGGGGAGAAGGTGAGGAGGATGGGGCTCCTCCTGCTACCGTTTGAGAAAAGGACTTCATCCAAATTCAGCCTTCGAGATGTGTTTATGAGGATTCCAGGTCATAGCGCATTGTTCACGCCCTTCCACAGATGTCAAGAAATACCTGGATTCTGTTCTGATCCTTATGCTTGCATGGCAAGCACTTAACCGCTCACTATCTCCCAGCCCAGAGAATGTGTTCATACTGTCCTGGAAGCACCCTACTTCTGGCTACACTTCCTTATCAGGAGTGACCAAAGTGCTAAAAAACCCAGTTAGGTTTCTGGATCCCCCTGTAACAGTTGTTTGTTAGCTGCCAATTCCACAGATACTCCAAACGGCAGCTGGAGCGGGTGAGAGGCTGCCCTCCGGCCACGCTTCTGCAGAGCCATACCAGAGCTTTATGACTTACCAGCATCTCTATAGGCATTACCAGAGCTCCAGTGAGACCTTGATCAGCCAATTTGCTCCTCTGTAATCAATGGGCTTTAAGGGTTTAAGTCCCTGTGAAGAACTCTTCTAACGTGACAAAATACAGCGTCCTGAAGGACTTGGTACAAAAACCTCTTAAAAATAATGGATTGAACTGACTGGAAAGAACAGAATCCAGGTATTCCTTGACATCCGTGGAAGGGCGTGAACAATGCGCTATGCCCTGGAATCCTCATAAACACATCTCGAAGGCTGAATTTGGATGAAGTCCTTTTCTCAAACGGTAGCAGGAGCCCCATCCTCCTCACCTTCTCCCCCAGTCGTCTTCCCGGCCACCTCCTGCCCCTCAGACACAGCTCCACATGGACCTCCTCCAGTTTCCCCTACTTGGACATGGTCTTCCACAGTTACTCAGGAAGCCCCACAGATCTTGCTTCCTGTCTGAGGACAGTCATTGTGTTTCCTCACTCACTCACCTCCAGAGCCAGCTCTGAGGCCAAGTCTGAAAACTCATCTTAATGGTTTTCCCCATGCAGTGTGGGCTTCATGAAGGCAGGGACATTTCTTGAGGTTCTCTGATTCCTATTTATATTTTCATTTCCAAGAAAATTGTCTAGAAAAACACTCAATACATACTTGAGAGTGAAATATTAAGTTCACACAGATGGTTAATATAATGGATAGGGCCTGGGCTGGATTATATCAATTTGCATCAATAATGACAGGGGTATGCTTACTCCGTGCTGTGTACTCCTAAGCCATGTGTTGGAGTGTCTCTGACCGCTGGGTTGATGATGATTTTGCTCTTCTCTAAAGCTCTCCAAGAAACAACATGTTTTCTGCCCTTTGCTCTCCTGTCTCTAACACGCTCCCTACCCGAGCCACTCCCCACTCCTCATCCTGCTGCCTGCCCCACAGGGATCTGCAGCAATCTATTCAACTGTCTCTCTCTCTCTCTCTCTCTCTCTCTCTCTCTCTCTCTCTCTCGATGATACTGATAAGGTCTATACTGACGTAATCTACACTCGGTGGCCTGCTCCTTGTCCACCTGCTCCTGTTGTGCTGTATTTGCCCATGTATCTTAATGGGGGGATGAGGGGAAAAACAAGAGGAGGAGGAGGAAGAGGAGGAGGGGGAGGAGGAAGAGGAGGAGGGGTAGGAAACACAATTCACCTCCTGTTGGTTCAAAGGGGAAGAGGAGGAGGAGGAGGAGGAGGAGGAAGAGGAGGAAGAGGAGGAAGGGAGGAGGAAGAGGAGGAAGAGGAGGAAGGGAGGAGGAGGGGGAGGAGGGGAGGAGGGGAAGGGAGGGGAGGAAACAGGCAAGAGGAAGGGGTAGAGAGGAAGAAAGGGGACAGGAAGTGGAAGTTGAGTTAATTGAATGGTTATGTGGAAGGCAGTGACTAGTAGAAATCAGCCTTATATCACTTGACCATATTCTATGACATCACCAGAAATCAGCCATATACCACTTGACCCTATTCTATCACCTCTGGGAAAATTTATGACAGTTTTCTGGAAAGAAACACACCTTTCTACGCCTTTCTCGCCTCCTGTCTAGAAGAAGCCTGACCAGGTTTCTATCTACAGAGAAACTGACACATGGCAGGTTATTTGTTAGGTATTTCTTACATTGAAAATAACTATCTCAAGCCAAATTATTTTATCTCTCAACTAAATACCAGGTATTTTATTGTTTTGTTGTTTGTTTTTTCATGAATCTTGTATAAATGGTCTTACCGTAAAATAACAACTTCTGGGCTGAAGAAATGGCTGAGCGGTTAAGAGCACAGGCTGCTCTTGCGGAGGACCTGGATTTGATTCCCAGCACCCACAAAGCAGCTAACAACCATCTGTAACTCCAGTTCCAGGGGATCCGATGCCTTCTTCTGACCTTTGTGGGCATTGTACAACATGGGTGCACTTACACACATGCAGGCAATACACTCGTACACATGAAAACTAAAAACAGTGCTCGCTTCTGCAGTGCATATACTAAAACTGGAACGATACAGAGAAGATTAGCATGACCCCTGCGCAAGGATGACACACAAATTCATGAAGCGTTCCATATTTTCTCTTAATAAAGATTATCCACTCCAAAAAAACCACTAAAAATGTCTTTTTAAAAATAACACTTCCATAGACTCTAAGGAAACTCTCAACGTCTTCATTGTGTGAATACAATGGAAAAGAGAAAATCAGAACTACCTCACAATTATTTCCCAGTATTGATCTTTCGTTCAAGGACTTGATACCATGGTGCAAGCATGTCAGTGTACTGGGGAAAGGGTAGAGGTTGATGCCCTGAGTCCTGTGTTCTGATGACCTTCAGAGCTTACTGAGTCCCTGGAATACCACCTAGTATCTCAATCTGAGATAGATCAAGACGTTTGCTGTCCTCTGAATCTAGAATCTTCTAAGAGCCCAGAAGTGAGTCCACACAATGACAAATATTATGCCATTTAAATAAATTGTCATGTTATGTCTGATTGTGGTTCATTAGATGAATTTTCCATTTTCATAAATATATTTGAATTGTCCAGACACAGCTTGAAATCCTATGCTATGCACTGCCTATCAGGACAACCCTCCAAACCTCTGAGCTAGGATTTGCAAAAACTATCTTAATACTGCCTCATACTTTTGAATAGCTGTCTCCACATCTTCTCAACCTCTCAGTCACCATGATTTACTTCCTGCTTCCAGTAGTGAGTTACAGCAGTTCTCAGCTTTGGCTGTGAACCAGAGTTACCAGGAGATTCTGATTTGATTGGAGCATATGGATAAAGGATGCTGAAAATATGCATGACGTGACCACACCTGAGAAACACTGCTCAGCAAGAAGGATCCCAATCACATACCCATGTAGCTCTCTGAAGATTCCAGAATCAAGGCAACATGCAGGGAACAAGGCTCATCAAGTCCCCGTCACCACAAGTAGAAAGGTGAGATCATGGGCACTGATAACTCAGAAATTTAGACCGTAAATTCAAAAATAACCCTCCTTATTGTAAAGTCGGTTTCGTACCTGACCATCACCAATGCCAACCTCTATTCTCATCGTGGGTCCCTGAGGCTCCAACACAACCCTGACAAGAGCTTGGTGAGACTGCTGGCCTACCTGTGTCCCGTCAGCATTGAGGGAGCCCTTCTTACAGACCAGCAGAGGCCCCACCAGGCCAGCACTGGTGTCTTTGATTGGCTGGACTTCAGAGAAGTAGAGGTAGGTCAGGCAGGGGGGATCTTCATCTGCCGGGCTGACATCTTCAGGCACCGTCCACCTGTAGGTGAAGGTCTCACCTGGCTTGACATGAGCCCCTGGTTTCAGAAACCCTGGGGATGCAAAGGAAAGAGTATAGCCACAGCCAAGAACACCACGCCTGCCGGACTGCCCTGGATGGCTCTCTCTGACCATGTATTTTACAGAAGGAAGGTCTCTCTCCCCATTCCTCCCTCTCTCTCATCTCCCTGTAGCACAGCTGTCCTGGAACTCACTATGCAGACCAGGCTGGACTCCATCTTACAGAGATTCACTTGCCTCAGCCTGGGTTCTTTTCCCTTAGGTGTCCTGCCCCGAGAGCCCATAGCCCACTAGGGCTATTGTATGAGACAGAAGCTGAAATCAGTGGCTTTCAGTAGGTTGCTCGTGTCTCATACCTATGGGTAGCACTTACTGAACTCAAGAGGACAGGAAGCTGGGAGGGAGAAGGGATGAGGGGGTATTGGCGGTGAGTAGCGGTAGATGAATATAATCAATAGATATTGTATTGAAGAATGAAATCTTCAAAAATAAATTTAATGTTATTAAAAAGAAATAAAATGTTCTTAGCACAGTACCATGTAGTGAGCACAGAGTGAAACATTACAAAATAAATTTAAACTAAAAATATACACCAAGCAGGGCCTGGTGGCGCACGCCTTTAATCCCAGCACTCAGGAGGCAGAGGCAGGAAGATCTCTGTGAGATCAAGGCCAGCCTGGTCTACATAAGAAGTTCCAGGCCAGCTGGGGCTACAGGAAGACTCATCCTCAGAAACAAGTACAAAACTCAATAACCAAGATAAATAATAAATGAATGAATGGATAGGGCGTGGGGTGTGAGACCAGTGATAGAATTCTTATGTAGGAAGTACAGGAACTCTGATTCACTCCCCAGCACCACAAGTGGAGACACAGGCATCCCCAGATAGGGGCAAGTGCTGCACCCCCCAGAGCCTAGCCTGTTTGATCTGTGTTGTGTCATGTAGGCATGTCCACTTACCCAAGATAACAGGAAAGGGTTGCGCCAGGTACATACCACTCACCCTTCCCTGATTGAGACACCTGAAGGAAGTTGTGACATTTTTCTTGTTTTGAAGTTATTGGTTTGTGAAATGCTTGCTTTGAAACTATTGGCTGTATGAACGCGGGCTTTTGTGTAACGGTTGTGGGAGCCTATATAATCTTTACCTAAAATTGCCTCAGGGTCAATCGCTCTAACCAGACCTGTGTGTCTTGGAAGGACAGTCAGCCCCAGCTAGCTGGTTTAATAAAACTCTGTTTGATTTTTGCATCTCCATACTCGTGCATTTGTTCCCCAGAAGAGACCCACTGAGTCAAGGACCCTAACACTATCACGAGAGGAGAGAGGGAGAGAGAGAGAGGAGAGAGGAGAGAGAGGGAGAGAGGAGAGAGAGGAGAGAGGAGAGAGAGAGAAATTGTTGTAGTCTTTGTAGATTGCATGGTATTGCAAGTCTATATGGTGTCGTTGAGTGTCTTCTGTACCCTTCCTCCAGAAGGTGCCTGTGCTGATAGCTTTAGTGTCAACTTGACACACCTGGGCTGAGGGAGCCTCAATCGGGGAATTGCCTCTATTGGACTGGCCTGTGGCCATGTCTGAGGGGCATCTTCTTGATGACTGATGTGGAGGGCCCAGCCCACTGTGGGTGGTGCCACCCCTGGGCAGGTGAGCCTGTGTTGCATAAGAAAGCAGGCTGAGCAGAGCAAGTCAGTAAGCAGCGTTCCTCCATGGCCTGTGCTCCAGCTCCTGCCTCCAGGTTCCTGCCCTGAGTTCCTACCTTGGGCTCCCTGATGAACTGCGTGCGACCTGGGAGATGTAAGACAAATAGACCCTTTCCTCCCCAAGTCGGTAGTGGTCAGAGTGTTTTGTCACAGCAATGAAGAACAAACTAAGACGGTACCCTACAGAGGCTAAGCAAGAACCCTGTCTTTAAAAAGCTTGAAATCTGGAAGGCTGACTAAGCAAATAACCTAAATAACTACAGGACAGAGAAGGAGAGCAAGCGTCCAAGGTCGCAAAGCCAGGACCGAAACTCAACTCTCGCACTGTGCTGTGTCTCTCACTGGGCCAGGCCACAGGTTCAATCTGCATCTTGTCCTGTGCCCCGCCAAAAGCGGCCCTGTACGTTTTCCGAAAAGAAGAATGGAAATATATATATTTTTTTGCTGTCTCTGGTATTTTCTATGAACAACGCCCCTGCAGGTCTCACCCTGAGTATCTTGACCATGAAAGAAATCTTTAGTATAGAGGTTTTGGGTGCTGGGGAGATGGCTGAATAGTTAACAGCACTATCTGCTCTTGCAGAGGACCCAAGTTCAATTCCCAGCACCCACATGGTGGCTGGCAACCAACGATAATTCCAGTTCTAGGGGATCTAATGCCCTCTGACCTCTGAGGGCATTGCACAATACGGGTGTACTTACATACATGCAGGCAATACACTCACACTCATAAAAATAAATAATAATTAAAAATAAGTATGGAGGTTCTGCTGTAGGAGAGAGGATGGGCATGTGGGGGTGGGTGAATCTCCCCCCTTTCCGTCCTGGTTGAACCCCTAATCGTCACTTCAAAGCCTGCTCTCCACTGGGTCTGGCCTCATCCTTGGTCATGAGGAAGTATACCAGGTGGCCACGGTGTCTGGTCCCACCATGGGAACACATACCAAAGGACCAGGGGTTTCCCAAGAGCAGGATCCAGAGTGCAAGGGTAGTTCCTGCTGTGCCTCCTATGTGCAGAAAGCCTGTGCTCCCTGAGCCATGAGGGACAGAGGCCACAGAAAAGGGCCCACATACTGGCTTTAAATCAGTATCTGCTGGTGGACACAGACCAGCGGGTAAGATTCTGATGCCAACAAAACACGGAAATCAGATTTAGGGTCCCCTGTGCCTTGCAGCAGACATACTCTCCATGTGAGAAGCATGGAAGAAACTGTGGAATTAGTCTTTGCATCACCGAGAGGCAGGAAAAACTGAACATTTCCTAAGGACTGACTGTGGCCTGACTCAGCTCTGTGCTCTAAACTTTCTCTGAAATGAAGTCCTTTAATATCTGCCTTCTTATCTCCATCCTGCCAGCATCCCCTTGGCTCATAGCATCACCACTTTCCTACCTCTTACTCCTATGTTTGTATCTATGGTGTCACCCTGCTCTAGACATGTTCACTCCTCATACTAATGCATATTTCATTGACCTTAATACTGACAGTGGGTTTAATATTTGTTTAAAGTCTTCAGAGGCTCTGTTGAGCGTGTCCCAGTCACAATGTAAAAGTCCCTCTTCCATACCCTAGTCTTTGGTATCTCATCAGCCTCTCTCTCTGTCTCTCTCTCTCCCTCTCCCTCTCCCTCCCCCCTCCTCTCCCTCCCTCCCTCCTTCCTTCCTTCTCTCCCTCCCTCCCTCCCTTCCTTCTTCTGTCTTTTTGAGCTGGTCTGGAACTCGCTATGTAGACCAGGCTAGCCTCAATCTCACAGAGCTCCGCCTGCCTCTGCTGGGATTAAAGGCATGAGCCACCACATCTGGCTCCACCTTACTTTTTAAGGCAGAATCTCTCCTTGAGCATCTGATTGGCTAGACTGGCCAGCCAATGAGCTGTAGTGATCTGCCTGTCCATTACCCCCCACCCCCAGTAGACATGCACCATGCTGTTTCTGGCTTTACATGGTGCTAGGGATGTAAACTCGGGCCCTGATGCTTGCCCACTTACCCTTGGAGCTCAGCGCCCCAGCCCCTCTGGCCCATGCTCAGTCCTCTTCCTACTCGTCCCAACTAAGCTAAACCTGGTGGAGACTCACCATCTACATTTGGGGCGGCGTCGGATGCTTTGTCATAGGACACACCATGGGGTAAGATGCTGTAAACCTTGTCAGCTTTATTGGTAAAGGTCACTAGCAGTGTGTCACCCACCTCTGCCTTGATGACTGGCCCTGGAAATATCAAAAGGAGAGAGAAGAGGATGAAGGCAAAGAGAAGTCAGTCCCAGCAGAAGGAGCCGTGCTGTGGAGATGTGCAGTCCCAGGTGAGCACCCCGCCCCAAACATGAGGATGCCGGCACTGTACCAAGGATTCCAAGATGGGCTTCTGCTTCAGAGAGGGCCTTTCTTCTACTAAAAGTTGCATCAACATACTCTGTATACTGAGCCTTCCAATACTTTCCTCCTATTCTGTTTTCCCCTTGTGTGAAGTACAGCGCAGAATCTCTGTGGGAAAACAGGAATCTGAGAAGACACCCTGACACATCCCCTGATGCATTCGTCATGGAGCCTTAGCCTGTCATCTGGCCCCCGCCCCATCGCCCTTCTCTGGGGGCTGGCTCTCAGGCTCCTGTCTCCCTTGTATGTGTGCCTCATTCACCCAAAGTCCAGCAACCAAAGAAAGGAAAACTCACTCACCAGCCCTGGGGTCCTAGAAAGCAGCCCTACAAGTAAGAGAGAGCTAACCAGTTTCTTTGTGGAGAAAGTGTCTGTGCCCAGGCCAGTGTGAACAGGCTCTGTACATCATAAGTTCTTTTGTATCTGGCGTGATTAAGGAATGGGGTATCTAGCCAATAAAACAGCTTAACTCACTGAGAGCTGTCATATAAAAAACTATAAGCATGAAACACCTAACTTCAAAATTGCAGAATGCAACAATACCACTTCTGACTTGGGCTATCTCTACTCAGTGTTTTCACAGACGCCACTGCATGTGACTCTGTCACAGGAGGGCACCTCCATTTTAAAATCAACCTAAAACATAATGAGTACTGGGCGAGCCCAGAGAATAAATAATTAATTCTGACTCAGAACTCAAGGGAAACTTCACTTAAGAGGCAGCTTTAGACTTAGGCTTCGAAGAAAAAGTGGCGTTTTACTGGACAGGGCGGGAAGACATTTATAGGAGAGAGGATGTGTAACTTATATAAGGATGCCATTAAACCAAAGAAGCTCATCTCCACCCAGAGTCCTGTTTCCTCTTCCAGACTGCTCCATGTGGACAAAGGCCTTCCTCTGTTCTGTCAGCTCAGCATCTCCAATGATCTTGAACACTGCCCTTTGCACATAGGAGGTGCTAAGGACATGTTTGATCAGGCATGAGTGAGTGGCCGAATGGGTGAGTGAATAAGTGGACCTGGTGCTTTGACACAGTCAGCACCTCACAAAGCAATAATCACTCCCCAGGACTCAGCAGTATTTACAGTAAGAGCTCTTTAAGCTGCGATAACATGCTGTCTGCTGCCTGAGACAAGTGAGATCAGAAGGAAGAGCCGGCCAACCACGTGCCTCTCTGGAGAGGGGCTTAGAAACACCAGCAGAATTCTTACCTGTCAGAGGCATTCAGGGGAAGGCCGCTGAACTTGTCATAGCCTAGGGGACCATAGTCCCAAAGGACTTTTTCAGCTGCTATGAAGTAGTGTCTCTGCCGACCCCTCATCTTGGGGTGAGGAATATCACTTCTGCAGTTACCAACATTGTACTGTCCCAGCATGCCAGCTGCAGACAGAGGAAACGCATGAGCCAAGGTGTAGATGAAATCATTCAGGAGATGGGCAGATTTGACTGCACAAACATTTAAATTTTTCATACAGAAAAGTGGGCTATGAGCAAAGTTAACAAGAAAGGATAAATGGTGGACGGGGGTTTGTAACAAATATGAAAATTTACAAGTGAATCACTTATAAAACTGAAGAAGGAAAGCAATTCTCCCATAGAAAATGGGCAGAGAGATGGGTAGAGAGATGGCCCTGCAGTTAAGAGCCTGATTGCTCTGGTAGAGGACCTGAATTAGATCCTCAGCACCCATACTGGGCAGCTCACAACAGCCTATACCTCCAACTCCAAGAGACTGGACACCTCTGGCCTTTGAGGGCACCTGCACTCATCCCCACACAGACATGCACACATACACATAATTCCTAAATAATGGATTGTTCACAAAAGAAATCATAGCAACCAATAAACAAATGGAAAAGAACTTCAGCCTTGGGCATAACTAAGCTGCACTGCTGTTCGTTGGTCAGATGGGTAGAAGCTAGGAGTCTGAACTCCCAGTAATATCAGGCAGACAGAGAGAAGACACGCTCACACACCGTGGGAGGATGAGTCACAGTGTCTGAAAGGGAATTTAGCAATGTGTATCCACAGCCTCAAAAAAAATCAGATTCTGACTTAGAATTCCAAATCCAGGAGTTTTTCGAAGGAGATAGGTAAAAGTAAAGACAACATGTAAGTTATTCTTAATAACAGGAAGGCTGAGTACAGTGTTGAGCAGTCAAGTGTTGGGTGGATCTGCTGCGCTCTTGCTGTGGACGTGGAGGCATCAACACTGGCAACTTCATCATCACTCTGTACCCACTGACGTGGAGATACAGTGGTGTGACACACCGACAAGTGGAGAAGTGCGTGGCAGAGCACCACAGCTATAGGCCTCATTCACAAGGTATAGAGCAGCGAAGGGCCACACTGACCAGAATGCAATGCCGACATCTCTAGATAGATTGTTGCACTTAAAAATCCAAGTATAGGTCCCAGAGAGGTGGCTCAGCCAGCAGTTAAGAGCACTTACTGGTCTTGCAGAGAACCTGGGTTCAGTTCCTAGCACCCACATGGCAGCTCACAACCATCTGTAACGCCAGTTCCAAGGGATCGGGTGCCCTTCTCTAGCCTCGGAGGACACCAGGCATGTACATAGTACATATCCATACATGCAGGTACTCACACATACACATAAAATAAAAACAAATCTTTAAAAAAATAAAAGCACATGTATTTTATACATTTTAAAATAATATTTTCTGAGGGTATGGACAATTTAAGAAACATTTTATAATAGTGACAGTATAAATAAATACTACAGCTGCTGGCCAAACCCAGCCTCAAATGGCTGCTACTGTGTTGATTTTGAATCTAGGTTTAGAATCCCTGTATCAAAGGTTTTCCCCTAATTTACCAGTATGAGCTATTTTAAGAATAGGAACCTGTCTGTCTTCTCCAGCCGACCTTTCCAGACCACTGTCCGGCACATACTAGCTGATCAGCCCTTGAGCTGAATTGAATTAGAAAAACAGCTGACTGTGCTGAGGTTAGTTGTAGGAGGTTGACAGGAACGAAGTAGAAGGAGCTCTACCTGTTAGTGTCTGTGTGAAGTTAGCAGCATCCATCTTTAGCCTGACATTACTCTTTCTGGGTCCATGCCATTGGTATCTTTCCTCCTCTTCCTGTTTTTTGCCATCTAAGGACAGATGCTTTCTGTGGTGTAACTCTGTCACTGTGCCTTAGATGGTTCCCCGGGGGCCAGAATTCCCTGGCGGAATCCTTCCACGCACATTGTACTGGCTGTCCCAAGCTGCCGCACCAGCTGCAGCACATCACCGCTGTACCTAAGGCTCTGGCCTCACACTGTCCCATCTCCTCAGCCATTTAAACCCCTTCCTGAGGGGCCAGTCTGCTCCTCATCATTCTTCTGACACAAACTTATGGTTCAGCCAAGTGAGGATCTATTCTGAGTGGTCCCAGGAGTCATGACTGAGACATTCAACAGGAGCCCAAGTCAACATTTTTCCTTTGACCTACCTTATCCTGAGCACGGGGGCTTTGTCTTGATATAAAGCATGTTCTAACAGAACAGGTTGAAGCTGAGGCAGTTACTTTAAGACACTCAGAGGGGATTCAACAAGAGGATGGGAAATCGACTGTCGGGTTATCTGAAAGGTTGTTCCCAGGGCTAGTTCTGTTCACAGTCCCGAGGTGAGAGCAGGTAGTTTTTCCGTTCCTGTTTCTTCACTAGCTGGAAAGCCTCTCTTCCCTCCATCTACTCAGTTTCCCCAACTTGTCAAGGCCTGGCACTCACTTCTCATGAGCCCCTCAGAGTGCTCTGCAGCAGCCAACAGCATACCAAAGAGGATGTGTGCCACGTGCTCGTTCATATTGTAATAGGTAACGACTAGATTCTGAGCACGGTGCTCTTAGGGACCTGATTACTAGATATCTGCAGACAGGGGCCAAGTAAATGATCATGCATTCTGCCATAGATCTAATATTTAAGTAACTGTAAGGCAGGTGAGAATCTACTTATGAGCAAGCCCAGTGACTGGTGGGACTGCCCCATCTGGGGCCTCTCCACAGTGGCCGCTGTCCACTTACCTTGCAGGTGGTCGCTGACTTGACAGGTTATCATCCATTTCCCAGGATTCTCCACTATCATTTCTGCTGTGAGGAAGGTGGCTGGGAACAGGTTGACGACATCCGCCCGGTGCCCTCTGGTGATGAAGGTGTTACCGTAAAAATAGATGGAATGGATGTCTATCTCATTCCCCATCCCAAACAGGTGCCAGGACACAGATTCACCGACACACATCTCAGGCTCAGGGAAGTTTCCGAAAAGGAATCCATTGAGGGCTGAAAGCACAAACACAGTGGAAGAAAGTCTGCAGCGGAGGCCGGCAGGGCTGACCATCCGGACGCAGTGTGGCTGGAGGCCGGCGGGTCGTCGTCCACGTTCTCCTGAAACAGTCCCCGTTCTTCGAAAACAGTATCACTCATCACTGATACGGAGTGAAAACGTGCTGAGCACCAGCGATTGTGAGTGCTCTATGGACCCCACACACCAAGGCTCGGGGAACTTCAAAGAGGGAGGGGAAGACTGGAAGAGCCCGGCGAGGGGGAAGAGCGGGTGACATGCCGTCCTCTGGGCCCGACATGGCTGTTGCACACGAAGTTCCCGCACAGAAATCAAGCCGGTTGAAAATCCCAGCAGGGAGAGGGCGGGGCTCCCGACGCTGCACCCAGGAAGGATCATTTTTCCCTGGGGGTGTGGCCGCTGGTGGGTTGCCCATGGCCCTGTGCATGACCCTGCACCCACGCACCATATGGGCGGCACTAATTAGACTCTTGGTTAAAAATAAATGAATAAAAAAATTTAAAGGTGACCCTGAAGTTGGAAGAGAGATGTAATTGATAGAGGGTCCTGGGGAAGCTGGAGAGCAGGGAGGAATAGAGCTGATCAAGATACATTGTGTACATGATGACATTTTCAAAGAATAAATTTCAAGTATTGTGTATCTGAAAGGAATGGAAACGCTGGTATTCGTCTTTTTCAGCAGAACACCAGGTAAGATTGACCTGGTGGGCTAGTGACAGTCTTGCAGCTGCTGTGTGCGCAGTCACGTCGCCAGTCGATGCCCACACTTCTTGGAGGGCTGGTTGGTCCCGCCCTAAGCCTTCACTTGCATATCTACCCCACCCCCACCCATGCTCCTTAGAACCGGAACGCCTGTCTCCTCATCTCACAGCCCCCAGGGTCCAGCACAAAAGTTGGGCAGCGTCCACAGTGTTAGGGTCAGGAGTAGAGAGGCAGCACTTACCCACGAGGCATGTTTATAACTTGCTACATAACATACAGGGAGGGGCTGGCAAGTCGGCTCAGACAGTAGAGGTGCTTGCTACCAAGCCAGGGCCCAGGGCACATGTGCCCACACACAAAATAAATAAATGTAATAGAAATTTAAAAAAAATTTTTATTTACTTTTATTTTGTGTGTAAGAGTATTACCTGCATGTATATAAATGCACCCGTGTCATGCAATGCCTACGGAGGTCAGAAGAGAGCATTGGATTCCCCTGGAACTGGAGTTAGGAATGGTTGTTAGCCACCATGTGGATACTAGGAACTGAACTCAGGTCTCCTCCAAGAACATCCACTGTTCTTAACCACTGAGCAATCTCTCCAGCCCAATAGAAATTTTTAAAAGGAAAAGCAGTTTTTAGCAGATGTTACTGTGGCAGAATCTTGTTGGCTGTACCCACTCCTTAAGTCTAGTCCTGAATTTCTGTTTGTTTGCTTTTGTTTTTATTTTTTAATTTTTTATTTTTTATTTTTTGGTCTTTTTGAAACAGGGCCTCCCTGTAGCCCCAGCTGTCCTGGAACTCACTATGTAGACCAGGCTGGCCTTGAACTCACAGAGATCCATCTGCCTCTGCCTCCTGAGTGCTGGGATTAAAGTCATGTGCCACCACACCCAGCTGTTGGCTGTTTTTATGTTTCTGAGACAAGGTCTCACTATGTAGCTTGGCTGGCCTTGAACTCACTGAGCTCCACCTGCCTCTGCCTTTCTGTGCTAGGCCACAACTCCCAGCAACACTGAATGTTTTTAATCCATGTAAATGACAGCCCAAACCTGGCCAGGTGCAGCAGAGAACTTGATTCAGGGCTTTAAAAAGTCACCCCATCTCGTCTCAAGTTCAAAAATGAGTATGATGGTAACCCTCATTGTCAACTTTGTGGGACCTGGAATCATCCAAGAGATACACTTCTGGGTGTGTCTGTGAGAGTGTTCCCAGAGATTTAACTGAGGAGTAAAGACCCCCCTAACTGTGGGTGGCACCTTCCCACGGGCTGGCCTCTCAGACTGGATAAAAGAAAGGAAGCTGAGCACTAGCACTCAACCCTCTGCTTCCTGAGTGCAGGTGCAACGTGACCAGCTGCCTCAGCTCCTGCCACGCCTTCCCCTCCGTGATGGGTTGTATTAGTGAATGTGAGTAAACTGATTGATAAATCTTGTTTAAATGGAGCACCTTCTATAGACCAATTTCTTTTCAAAGTTATTTTTCTATAGCCTCCTTTGCCAGTTTTTAGGAAATATACATTGTTTACAAATCCCTACAGGCTGTTTTTTATTTTAAATGCCATCCTATTTACTTACGTAATCATCTCTTTTGTGGGAGACATTTCACTCCAAAAGAATAACTACTTTGGGATACGAGGGATTGCCTGGGCAGCGGAGCCCTGAAGCATCATGATCCTTGTGGTTTTCAGCAGTGTTTGCGGTCTTCAAGCACGTGTTCTGAAGAACAGGACTAAACTGATCTCAGCAGGGATTTCCACTCAGACCTTTGTCTCAACCCCTCACTTTCTTTGCCTCCTTCCCTTCCCCTCTTCCTCTCTACTTCACTTCCTCCCTAAATGTTTTCCAAGCACCAGAGAGAAGACAGAGGGCTTGTGGTACCACAGAGAGAATTGGCCATGCTGTTAGAAGCAGATGAAAACAGAGAGGCATTTCCTGCTCCCCTCCCCCCCAACCTCTCTCTTGCTCTTGATCTGGTACTGATTATAACTCAGATCTTGGGTGTGTCATTGTGGTCTTGACCCCAGGCTCTTCATTTGCAAAATGCAATCACCACCAGGTCCTTCCCTTTCCCATAGGATTTTACGACTATACTGAGAAGGCCCCAGTTAGGGTGACTTTGAGAGACAGGGAAAGGTAGGGGCCTTTGCTCAGGGACTGGAGTGTTTCCATCAAAGTCCCTTCATGTTAATGAGAACTCTCTAGGAAAAGACTAGAAACAGACCACTTAATCCACACATAAGATGTGGCCTTAGGCCATGTTCAGCCCCCAACAGACAAGTTCTCTGTCTCAACCAACAAGGTAACTGGAAATCCACTATGTTAAGCAAACACAAGGTCTGGTGCACAGCAGATGCTCGCTAAACCTTGCTGATTTAAAGATTGCCCAATAGGGGCTGGAGAGGTGGCTCAGCGGTTAAGGGCGCTGACTCCTCTTGCAGAGGACCCAAGTTCAATTCCCAGCACCCACATGGCAGCTACGAACCATCCTTAACTCCAGTTCCAGGGGAATCTGAAGCCCTCTTCTGACCTCTGCGGCATTGCACGACACGGGTGCACTCACATACATGCAGTACACTCACACACATAAAATAAAATAAAAAAAGACTGCCCAATAAACAGCAAATTTACAAGTGTGTGTTTAAGCTCCATGCGCACACAGTTCTGAAAATTTGGCAGCCACTTGGAAGATGGGTGCTGGGTGAGGCAGGAGTGCACAAGGCAGAGGGTTGTTAAGTGGTGGGGACTTTATTCTTCCTTCTGGCCATCATCTGGGCTCTCCTCAGTCCCCAGTTCTAACCTGATTATGACCTTTTCCCTCTGTGTTCTGTGACACCATCTTGTCTGTCCTGTTGAATGTAGCTTGTGTATGTGGCCTCATCCTTCCTCAGGACAAGATGGAATTTCGATGACATCTCAATCCGTTGAGATTCCAAGATGTATTGTGTCTTGTAACCCTTTAGAACCACTGTCATTACTAAACTACACATCTTGCAGAACTAGGTTCAGAGTTTCCATGTCTTCCTTCCCTGAGAGTACATCGCCATACAGAAAGCCCCTCCATACATCAGATTGGGGCATGCACTCACCATGCACCTCACATCATACATCAGATCGGGGGCACGAACTCACCATGTATCTCACATCATACATCAGGTCGGGGCATGCACTCACCATGCATCTTGTTGCTTCTCTGGAAAACAGCATCACTTTTGTCAACAGAATTGGGGTCAGTGCAGAAATGCCTGATGTTTTCATCGAGGTACCAGCTCTGGTTCTCATCCACGAGAGTGAACATGATAATGAACTCCTGGTCCACATCAGTCCTTGTCCCTGAGTATCTATTCAGTATGCCTGTCAGGGACATCCAAGAGAGGGGAGAAAAAGCAGTTCAAGTCCACTACAGCCAAGCAAGCCTCCTTTCTGCTGATGGTGTTCAGTAAGCCTGACGTGTGTCTAAGACCTCCAGATAGAAGGAAAGCCCACAACCCACAACATGCAGGCAGAACATGGCTTTGGTGGAAGAGCAGAAACACAGAAAAGTCACAGGACAGAAATCTTCACCACTGCAGACTTGGAAAGCTGGTGACGTCTCAAGAGCCAGTGTTGACAATGCACACACACACACACACACACACACACACACACAGAGACATGCACCATACACACATACACACATAGACAGACACTACACACACAGACGTGCACACATTGCATACACACAGACATGCACCACATAGACACGCTATACACACACACATAGACGTGCACACATATGCATACACAGACATGCACCACATACACACATAGACATGTACATACATATGCATATACACATCCACACACATAGACATGGACACACATATGGATACATAGACACACATAGACATGCATACACACACTCCACACTTAGACATGCACACACACATACACACATACACACTCACATAGAGATACACACACATATGCATGCACACAGACACAGACACACAACTTAGTCATGCACACATATGCATATGTACACACATGCATGTACAGCCACACATGCACATGCATGCACACACAAATGCACGCACACTTATACATACATATGTCCACGTGCACACACTGTATCAGCTAAGATCAAGCAAAGCTGTCTGGGTCAGATTATAAGGCAAAACCATCCCCGGTTATTTGCTTCTCACTCTCCTACATGGAGTGTTATGTGATTTTATTTTTAAAGCATATCAATCTCAGAGCCCTGTTGTGACTTCTAAATAGCGTCTGAATCATTGCCCTCTGCTATGGTGTCAGAGTGGTTGTCTGTGCTACAAGGACTTCCCTAATCTAGTCTAGAGCAAGGGCTGCATGCTCTGTGAAGCAAGACCTGAATCTCAGTCCCATGCTCGGCACACCAGTTACCCAGGAAGAAGCTTCCGGCTGCGAGGCTGCCTACCTTGCTTACACACCAGCAGGGGCCCAATGAGGCCAGAGCAGATGTCCTTAGGGGCGTCGATGTGCGAGTGGTACACCCAGGTCAGGCAGTTGGCATCTGCTGGAGCGGGTGCGTACTCCTCCCTCACCGGCCAGACGTAGGTGTAATTTTTGCCAGGGGGGACCATGTCGTCACCCTTGTTCTTTCCAGACGTCCCATCTGGATATAAGGCTCCTAATCCCCAAGAAAAGAAGATGATGCTGTCAAAGCAGAGACCCATGCTGCCGCAGAGGGCCAGAGCTTTGGAGTCCAACATAAACAAATGTAAAGTGTGTCCTATGGGACTCAAGACAAAGTTAGCTGAGTTCTCGGTACCCTGCCTCTCATCAGTAAGGCTGGAGTGCTCAGCTCTACCCCACAGGGACGGGGCACTCAGTGCGGCAATGCATGCAGATTGCTTCTCCCAGATGGTCCTCACACAAAGATGTCACCGGTCCGAAGGTTTTTGAGTCTCCTCACCTGCCACTGTTTTGAGACAGGGCAGGCCAGCAGGAGAGGAAATGCTGAGCCCTTCATGGGGACTTGTTCCAGACACACACACACACACACACACACACACACACGTATGTGTAGGCCTCATGAGAAAGAAGGAAGGGTAGGGGATCCTTTCCTTCCTGTGGGTCAGACTGGAATATGCATTACGGATACATGGACAGCTGGGTAACAAAGCAAAATAATGTGAAGAAGGTAATTTTGTGTCAGAATATATGGTCTACACAGAGAAGACCTGGGAGGTCAACCACAGAGTGGGTACAGTTAGGACAGAGCAGCCTATGCTGCATTTTACAAACTAACAATCTTGCACAGGATTGTTCACTTGAGGAAAGCCGCTGCTAGAAATTGTGGAAGGCTAGAAGAAGGCAGGCGACCTATCTGTGTATGTTAACATCATCAGGAGCTTCACGGTGGAGATGAGTCTGAGGGTCCTGAGAGGTCCAGCGGGCCTCACACTGCTACTGAAAAGCAGGAGGAACATGAGGGACATAGAGGGAGGCGGACACAGATTTACTCCAGCTCTGTCACCATCCCTCACACATCCATTTTTTCATTCATTCATCGGCGTGAATTGAATACAGACCACACACTAATTAGTGTGTTATCAATCATGGATGCAAATTCAAATAAGACAGCAAGCCTAAGAAAAGATAGGACCCAAAATCCAATGCTATCTTTTAAACATTTTATCATGAAAACGTAAGTTGATGTCTGGGGAAGGAAACCAGAAGAAAGTAACAGTTAAAGTCCCTACTGTGTGTCAAGTTTAGTGGCTCTGGATTGAACCCAGGGCCTCACACACACAAGGCAAACATCGCACCATTGAATTTCATCCTCAGCCAGAACAGCTTTCCTCTTCAGAGCGACCCCATATGGCAGCTGTTAGTATCCACATTATAAGCCAATACTGTGGTAGGTCTTGGCAAGTGGATGAGCAGATTTGAATCTATTTATGTCTGAGTCTCCATCAAAATTACTAAGAAGACAGTCTGTGGCCCACTTTTATATGCATTTATTCACTTAAATCTCTTTTATATATTAACTTTCAACAACTTAGTCAAAGAAGGATAAGAATCAATTTCCAAATAAAGTCTATACAATACATAATACTTAAAGATAGTCAAAGGTGTCTCATCATAAAGTCAGAGAAAACTTGTATGAGAAAGCAGGAGATGGGGCTGGAGATGGGTCAGTGGTTAAGAACACTGGCTGCTCTTGCAGAGGACCCAGGTTCGAATCCCAGCACCCACATGGCTGCTAACAACCATGTGTAACTCCAGTTCCAGGGGATCCGACAGCCTCTTCTGTCCTCCTTGGGCATTGCATGGCACGGGTGCACTTACACACATGCAGACATAATGCTCATACACAAAATAAAAACAAATTAAGAAAAATTTTAAGAGAAAGCAGGAAATAAATTTTATTAGATCTGTCTGTAGCAAGGTTATATTTAGGTTATGATGTTAGATATAGCTTTAGTATATATTAGGCTAATATAATCAAGTTATATTATTTCTTTTTCCATAAAAGGAAACTTACCAATTTCTTAGGGAAAAGCAACTTTTTGCTAATGTTAAGTTCTTAGACAATGTTTTCAAAGAGTCATCATATATACATCATTGAGCAATGCAATGAATTATATTTTGCATGTTTTCCAGAAATTTTCTTTTAAAATAATGTTTCCTTTTGGGTTTTTTGAGACAGGGTCTTTGAATATAGCCCTAACTGGCTTGGAACTGGCTATGTAGAGCAGGCTGGCCTCAGTCTCACAGAGATCCACCTGCCTCTACCTCCTGAGTGCTCGGATTAAAGGCATGTGCCATCATGCCCAGCTCTTAAAATATTTGCATTGCCATCTGAAGTGAGAATATTTTGATAAAGCTGTTTTTACTCAAAGTTAAACTAACGTGATTTGTTACTTTCTAACTTGACCTAACTTGATAGGGGAATAAAACAAAAAATCCAGAACGCTATTTTCCATCTATTTAATCCAAGTAGCATTTTAAAGAATTTCTGTTACCTGAGCAACTGGTGGAGTGCTTGCCCTTGCGTACACAAGGGCTCTGTTTGATCCCAGCATAGAGTGGGAAGGAAACTATACGGCTGGACACACCTGATTAAAACAGCAACCACCACCACCACCACAGTTTGTTTCAGCCCTCTGGAAACAAATAAAGGCACCTAGCACCGTCTGTGCTGAGGACTGGAAGGTCAGGGCTCTGTGGCACTCCTGCCTGGGGTGCTCCTGTCTCCCCTCTCATCCACCTCAGCTCCACTGGTGAGATGATTTTGTTGAAACGGTTAGGAATGAAGTCCACCCATTCTGCAGCCGTGGTTAATGGGGGGACTGTCAGATTGGGAGTGGCACACATTGCCTACATGCACTGCAACGTTATTTAGACACGATGGTCTGAAGATTGAGGAAGCGGAAAGAACAACGACCACCTGTCCTAGCCTAAAGTCATAGCGATGGTTGGAAAAGACACATCCCTGACTGGACAGCAATGAATGGGGCGGACCCAAGTCATTCATGCCAAGCTGGCTAACAGTGAGGCTGCCTGCGCACAACTAGACAAGGGGGAGCCTGGAGAGATGGCTCAAGGGTTAAGAGTGCTTGCTACTCTTACAGAGGACCCGAGTTCAGTTCCTAGCATCCACATCAGGCAGCTCATAATTGCTCATACGTCCAGCTCCACGGGGCTTGATGCCCTCTTCTGGCCTCCACGGGCACCTGCACTCACGGAACACCCCCCACAGACACATAATTAAAATAATATACACATATATATATTTTTTTTTTTGAAGAATAGTACAGACAGGCGTGGTGGTACACCACTTTAATCCCAGCACTCGTGTTGGGAAACCCTGCTGTTAGGGTTGTAGTCCTCCATGTCCAGATAGCTCTAAGAGGCTCCGCGCCCAATGGAAGGACTCCCCTTCTCAGCAGGGGGCTTCCTGCTCTCTGCCTGACTTACCTGGAAAGTGCCGCCAAGCACGGATGCCTGACCTTATTTGGAACATGATCTTTGGCATAGTTACCTGGATAAAAACTACCCCCAGGTTTTTTCTATATGATAATCAGGCATTGCCTGGTAGTCGGAGGATAGGAGCCCACTACCACATGTAAATAAAGCATACTATGAGCACCTATCAGCTGAGGCTTTGGCTACTGCCTCCACACTATATTTTCCCCAGTTCTCCCACTGAGTAAAGGAGCTGTCTCACTGAGTCTGGAGCTGTTTGTACGTTGAACCTGCCTCCCTCTGGCGGGAAGGGCTTTCTTCCGTCAGTGCTCACTGGCCGTCCTGACCCCAATCCTCGCTTCTGCTCCCCCTGTCCTCATGGACCGGTGGCCAACGACCCGCAAGGAGAGGGAGAGACCCCACACACTCGGGAGACAGAGGCAGGCGGATCTCTGTGAGTTCAAGACCAGCCTGGTCTACATAGTGAGTTCCAGGACAGCTGGGACTACAGAGAGACCCTGTCGCCAAAACACCAAAAAAAAAAAGGAAGTGAAGTGGAGATAAAACATGAGGAGGCAGAGATGCTCAGTGGTTAGTGCATTTAGTGAGCTTCAGGGGATCAGAGTTCAGTTCCCAGCACCCACGTCGGGTGGTTCACAATGGCCTGTAACTCCAGTTCCAAAGGATACAGTGCCCTCTTCTGGCTCCCACAGGCATTGCACTCGTGCAAAAATGCACATGGATCAATACAAACAAATAAAATCTTTTTTGAAAATGAAAAGTCATGAGATACAGGCAAATCAGTGCTTAAAAAGTAAATTTATTTAATTTTACTTATTGCTTTGTTTGTATTATATATGTGGTGTGTGCATGTTTGTGTTCACATGTAGGGGATGCACATGCACATGTGTGAACATGTGTGTGGAGGCCAGAGGTTGACCTTGGGTGTTTTCCTCAATCATTCCTCTGCCTTATGTCTTGAGGGAGGGCCTGTCATGACCCTGGAGCTCATCAGTTCACTAGCCTAGCTGGCAAGCTTGCCCTGTGATCTCCCATCTCTGCTTCCCAAGGGCTGGGGTTAACTGGCAGGCTGTCGCCTGCCCAGTGCTTATGTGGGTGCTAGGAATCTGAAATCTGGGCCTCACATTTCTGTGTCAAGTGCTTTGCCCATCCATAAAGGCACATTTAGATCTATAAATACCTATGCTAGAAGCAGAAAAGGTCTTGAATCAATAACCTAAAATATCACTTTAAGAAAATAGAAGGGGGTCTGAAGAGATGGCTCAGTGGTTAAGAACACCGGCTATTCTTGCAGAGGACCCTGGTTCAAATCCCAGCACCCACATGGCAGCTAACAACTGTTCGTAACTCTTGTTCCAGGGGATCTGACATTCTCTTCTGTCCTCCATGGGCATTGCACGACATAGGTGCACTTACCTACACGCAGGCAATACATGCATACACATAAAATAAATAAAATATTGGGGAAAAAAGAAAGTAGAAGGTGGGCTGGAGAGATGGCTTAGCAATCTAGCTCACTGGCTGCTCTTGCAGAGGACCCAGGTCTGGTTCTCAGCATGCATGTGGTGGCTAAGAACCGTCTATAACTCCAGTCCTGGGGATCTGATGCACTCTTCTGGCCTCCGCAGGCACTGCACACCACGGGTGCACTTATATACACATGGGCAAAACACTGATACACATAAAATAAACATAAAAGTGTTTTATATATAGATATTGGAAGGCTAGGCCATTAATCCCAGCACTCAGCACTTGGGAGGCAGAGACAGGTGGATCGCTGTGAGACTGAGGCCAGCCTGGTCTACATAGTGAGTGCCAGGCCAGCTGAGGCTACAGAGAGACCTTGTCTCAAAATACAAACAGAAAGTAGAGAAAACTCAGCGTAAAGCAAGCAGAATAAAAACGTGACAGTGAATGCAGCAGAAATCAATAAAAGAAGAGGAAGCAGATTAAAGCAAACGCTTATTCTTTGTCAACACCAATGAAACTGAGAGAACTGTCTGTGCTGTACAGGAAAGGAAAGAGCAGCAAATGACCAAAATCAGAAACAGAACAAGACATTACTGGTCACACAAAGAGTTTACAGGGGAACTGTAGGAACTAATTTAAACAAAGTATTGAACAACAGATTAAACTGACAAATTCATAGAAAGACATACATTTAAAAACCAACTGAAGACAAAATTAAAACATCGAATTAAAGCTATAATAAATAGGAGCTGGAGAGGCGGCTCAGTGGTTAAACTATTGCTGCTTGTACAGAGGCCCCAAGTGACTGGGAGCAGAGAGGACTATGTCATGTAGGAAGGGAGCCAGTAGGAAGAATAGAGGACAGGCTGCAGACAGCACACCCTGAGACAGCCCCTCCCAGCCTCGGCTGTGCCTGGTGACAAGAGCTGGCTGCCTTTCAGCCAGCTTCCCAGATACCACTGAGGGGCATGACGGAAAGCTGGTCAGCTTCAGGGGCACTGCAGGCTCAGAACCCAGCTGTGTCAACATAAAGGGGCTGGGGGTAGAGCTCAGGTAGCAGAGTGCTTGTCTAACGTCCGTAAAGCCCTGGGTTCCAGCCTCAGCGCCGCATAAATGGGGTGTGGGGGTGCACACTTGCAATCCCAGCACCTGGAAGGTAGAAGTAGCAGGATCAGAAATCCAAAGCTATCCTCAGCTACAGAGCACATTCAAGGCCAGCCTAGGCTACGTGAGACCCTGTCTCAAAAGAAAAGCAAGGAAGGGTTAGGAAAGGAAGGGGAAAGAAACAGAGAAAGAAGAGAGAACAGGTAGCTGGAGGTGGGGAGAGGGCAGGGAAGAGGGAGTCAAGTGAGCATGTGGAATTAGGGTGCCCCTGACCCCGTGAGACAGAAGGACCCAGCACAGAGAGCGGATGATCACCTTCCGAATCCTTGTTGTAGAAAACGCCATGTGGGTGCAGCGAGAAAGGTCGAGACGCAAAGTTCTTCAAGTGGATGACGATCACGTCACCCACCTCAGCCCTCAGGATGGGGCCCAGGAACCCGAGCCAGGGGGGCTTGGGGATCTCTGTGGAGTAGCTCCCATCCGTGAAGTGTCTGTAGACCGCCTTCTTGTAGATGCCGCCTATCCTGTCGGGTCCTCTTCCGAGAAATAGGGTTGCGAGTCTGAAAGTGAGAAGGAAACAGCATTTTGCAGTTGGAATGACAAGAGTCTGGACAGCTTGTCTGTGAGGCCTATTAAGCGTCTACCACTTCTCTGTGGTGTTCTTCATAGCCTGTGACCCCTGTAGACTCGGCAAGATCATCCTTCACTTACCAGTGTGGAAGTGAGACTCAGGTAAGAGCTGAGTCAAAAGGCAGACAGTATCCACAGCCAAACTAAAGTACAGTAAAGTGTTCCAAAGTCAGGCTGCTCCTTCACCCTTTCCATGCCACATAGCCACCTCCAGTGTGTGTATGTGACATGTGTGTGGCATGTGTGACGTGTGGGGGGGGTATGTGTGTGTATGGTGTGTGTGTGGTGTGTGTCTGTGGTGTATGTATGGTGCGTGTGTGATGTGTGTATGATGTGCATGGTGTATAGTGTGTATGTATGGTGTGTATGTGATGTGTGTGTATGTGTGGTGTTTGTGTGATGTGTGGGGGGTATGTGAGTGTATGGTGTATGTGGTATATGTGTGTGGTATGTGTGGTGTGTGTATGGTGTGTGTCTATGGTGTGTGTCTGTGGTGTATGTATGGTGTGCGTGTGTGATATGTGTACGGTGTGTGTGTATGGTGTGTGGTGTGTGTATGGTGTGTGCACATGGTGTGCACACGTGTGTGTAGGCCAGAGTCAACCTGAGGTATCTTCCTCAGTCACTATCCACCTTCTTTTAAGAGACGGGGTCTCTCACTTTTACTTGAGACTTGTGGTTTAACTAAGCTCGCTGTGGGGCCAGTGACCCACCTGTCTCTGCCCCTTAGCACTGGTGGATTACAACCTCAGGCCACAACTGTAGCAAGAACATTCCTGACCGAGGCACCTCCCAGTCCCCCGCCGCCGGATTTCATCTAACCCACAGTACTGTGCCCTTGCCGCCGTGCTTTGTGGGTGCAGAGGTGGAAAGGAAGCGCGGCGGGTAGCAGGCGGCCAAGTGTCAGCTGAGCTGCAGCGTAAGAGCGCACTGGGTGGCTGGTACAGGAGATACGGGCACAACTTTCCAGAAATGGGAGAGCTCAAAGCAGGAACATGTACCTGAGGGGAGACGCCTGGCAGGCGGGTACAGAGCACAGCAGTGAAGGCGAGGCGGGGCACAGGTGGGAAGCCTGTTACATCTGGGTACCCTCGGGCCTGGGAGGCTGAGCCGTGGCTGCTTGCACACCCACGGACAGCACGAAAACTTTCATTCCAGCTGAAGCATTCGGAATTGATCCGGGAAGCGCCGACACACTGGGGCTTTCCGCAGCACGGCGACCCGGTGGCCGGGGTTTAAGGACCCTTCAGTGGCCGCCGTGTGCTTATTTTAGGAGTGAGGCAAAGGGAACAGGACAATCGAGGGTAGAGAGGCGGTTAGGAGAGCGGAGGGGGAGAAAAGGAACCGGATTCTAGGGCTGGGTGTGACCAAGGTCTGCCTGGGGCCTTGGGGTGAAGGGGACACTCTGTCCCTGCGGCCTGGGGCACTGATGGACCAGGTTCTCCAGGGAAGGTGAAGCCCCTTTGCCCTCGATCTGCACGCTCAGCCTGGAGCTCCAGACGCAGCAGCCCTGGATTCTGCCTGGGCAAGAGCTCCACATTCTTGAGTGCGGCCATCCCTGGACAGCCGTGTTCTCTGACGGCAGGAGATCGAGTCCAACCTGGAACAGTCCTGCAACGCACATGCAGGCATTCCCTCTCAGTCATTCAACAAACACTACTCATGTCAAGCCCTGCACTCAGTACTCAGGATTCAGAGACGAGACATGGTCCCTGCCTTGAAAGAGCACCACCATGGAAGGGAGGGCTGAGAGAACACGGATTATGTCCTGGGGCATCTCGGGCATCTCATCTGCAGTAGAAAATGGTGAGGGGATTCCCAAATGTCTAAACTATGCTCCCAAGGAGCAAAGAGCAGTCAGCTAAGCCAAGGAGAAAAGGCTGGCTTGGAGCCCCGCAGCTCTGGCTATGTGGCCCCGCCCTCCACTCTGGTCTAAGAACACGCCCGGATTCTAATCCCACGAGTTTTCAATGGAGCCCCAGTGACAGAGCAGGTGACCCAGCCTCACCCCTGAGCACACCACATTCCTGTAACACATCAGGTCAGGTGGGACTTGTGACCCAGACCTGGCAGCTGGCATCATCTCCTCCAGCTAGCACTCCCTGACCACAGAGTGGCTGCTTGGTTCACTGGTAAGGAATCTGGGGACCTGTGAAGGATTACTGAGCACAGCTCTGTCATCTACAGAGTTCACTCTTGAGAACTGCAATTGAGTTACCACAAAAAAAATTGCAAAAAAAAAAATTTTTTTTTCTCGGCCACCAGCTGGGCACACCTAGTAGAACTTTTAGCAACCACACAACTAGGCCAAGGAGAGTCTGTCTACATGTTCTCCATTTCTATATTTCCTTAACCTTTTCTGTTTACACCCCCCCCCCCAAGAGGAGTCAAGGTTGAGTTCCATCAGATGGGAAGGGCAAGCTCACACTAGTGTCTTCTGCAGAGGCGGGCTGGGAGCACACGCTATGTGAGGTGAGCTGCTCTGGCGAATGACCACTGTGATGACTATTCGTTTTCCCATTTCCCATTCTTTAAGATGACAGAGTCTTATCATGCAGTCCAGGCTGGACTAGAACTCATGTTGTAGCCCAGGCTGGTCTTGAATTCACAGCTCTCTTGCCTCAGTCTTCCTGGGCTCAGAAGCATGCACAACACGTGACCTCCTGTTTCCATTTCCTATGGTCTATTCTGTTTTATTCACTTCCAGGTGGTCAATCATTCATATAATCCATTTTTTTAATGTGTCAAGTGCTGATCAGATCTCACCAGTTTCTTCTCTCTAGTGGTCTGTGCCCCAACTCTTTCCTATTTATTTTTATTTTCTTTCCAACAGAAACTATCCCAGACATTGCTAGAGGTCATAGCACATGTGTTTCTTTATCTGTCTGTTTTTGACGTGCTGGGGACTGAATCCCCGACCTGTTACATGCTAGGCAAATGCTCTACCACTGAGCTACATACCCAGTCCAGGCACAGTAGCTTCAACAGAGTAGCCAGGTGCTCCACTCGGGGCCAGGATGAACAATCCATGCAGTTGTGTGCATCACAGGTCAACAAAAAAGGTAGGGTAATTCTAGGATGGTGAGACCAGGTGCATCCAGCAGACACAGGAGATATGGTGGCATGGCAGCCCGAGGGTTGCAAGAGGCTCTGGCCTCCCAGCTTCCTCCAGAGTGCCTTCATTTCCCCTTCACCCACCTCCACCCCTCTCAGTAAAGGACACAGTAATCCCCTTTGTCTCCTGTCTCTTCTGAGTCTGAACCCTAGGTAGTTGCCCTGACTCAGGCTTCCTTGTCTTGTTCTAGGACCTGGCCTCAGACATAACAGATGGAGCTGTACATCCATAGGCCCCTCAAGCAGATGGCTCCACACTCGCCATTTGCCCAGGACAGAACCAGGACCATGTGCCTCTTGAGACAGACATATTAAACCAAGATAACGTCTACAGCCATTTGTGACCCTGACGCCACAGTGGGGCAAGCCCTTAAAGACACAGGGTCATGCTGAATGGGGTCCAGAGGGAACCTCCATCTTTCCCACATGAGTGTACACACCTGCTTTTAGCGTAGATCTCACATGTCTCCAGATCAGCCCTGGTTAAACTTTAAGACCATCCTGCTGACTTCCAAGAACAGACTGGGGACAAGAAGCAGAGGTGCTGGGCTGGATGTTTAGGATACAGAAATGAGCGGGTGACCAGATGGGGCACTTATGTACAAAGGGAAGACTCTGATGCTGGCACAGGAGAGACCACCACTTAGATTCGAAGAACAGAACAACATGCTCTAGGATAGTAAGGGGGGAGGGATTGGCGGGTGCATGGAGTGGGAGGGATAGCTTGAGCAAGGTGTCCAAGTCAGGGTCAGAGGTCAGCTCAGGGAAACTAACACAGCTTTATATGGCCAAGGAAGCTTGATGGGAGGGTACTGTGGGGAAACATGGGTGCTGGCTGAAGGCATTTAGGTCTGATTTCATCTGTAAACATGAGTCTCTCCAGACTCTAGGCCAGGGATGTGTGACCAGATACATTTCAGGAAGACTTTGGCCGGCTCCCTCTGCTTCTTAGCACCATACTTGCTCACCTGGTTTTTCCCACCTGCTTTTGGAGCACTGGCCCTTGCTAAGTTTCTGCCCCTGAACACTCAGTGCTATACCCACAGGGCCACCCAGCCTCTGTTCGGCTTCCAGCTCGATGTGGAGGATTTTATTCCCTGGTATCTGACAGGGCTGAGCGCCCTACCCTCTAAACCAGAGGTGGCATCCACCTGCCTGGCTGGGGTTGGGTCTGCTTTTAGCCAACTTGGCAGAATTCACTATCTCCCTTGACTTCTACATTGTCTAGCCCCAGTTCCTTTCCCTTCTGTCTCCAGATAGTGGTATTGCTGTCCAAGCAGAGACAGTCCTTTGTAGATGGAGCCACAGCAGGGCTGATGTCATTGGTATTAGCTAACAAACTTTCATCGGCTCCATTAAGATTTGGGACAACAGCATAGATCCAAAACCTGAAGGCAATTTGGGGTCTTCCCTTTATTTCCTCAAAGAGATTATCGAATATTAGCCCTCCATCAACTGAGATGGAGAGTCCAAGAAGGTAGAAATGGGCAGATGGAGGAGAGAGCACCCCAGTGACATTGGGGAAAAGGACTCAGAAGCTCGGCAGAATTACTCTTCTGGGAAAACAGCCCGTTTCCCCTTCCAGCCTCTTTCCTTTCTCTTTGCCCCAAGGACTCAGGCTCCTTCCTGTTTCTTGGAACACACCTCATCTGTGTGATTTGATTGTGACATGTCTCCCCACAGGCTCATATGTTTAAACTCTTAGCCCCAGCTAGTGGTGCTGTTTGGGAGGCTGAGGAAGCTTTTGGATATGGGGCTTAGCTGGCAAACATGGGGCCTTAGGGACCAGGCTTGCTTCCTGGTCTACATAACAAGT